CACTTTGGGAGTGTCCAACTTCGATGGTTCGGCACTGATATTGCTGCTAGTCGGAACCGAACGCAAATGTTTTTGCAGCAAACGTAGGCTCGGCTTTTCACCGTGAACCAGATGCCGGCGAAGGATTTCAATTTCAACGACCGAACGCTGACAAGTAGAGTTGATGTGCAGTTTGAGGTGCTCATATCGTGAGATCAGCCATGCCCAGATTGGATTTTCCTCCACCCCCAGCTCGAGCAAGATTGAAATGATGCTCAGGTACTCGTCCGACTTGGTATCTTCACTTCCAGTCTGCAGGTTTGTGAAGTGCGTCGCTGTGAGGCGTTTCCATGAATCGCGCTTGAACTTTTCAATCTGTCGCTCAACATCCGACCACATTCTTGCTGTAACAATGACCTGATGTATCTCGCCGTCGGTGAGTGGCGTTTGGGCAGAAGTCGCTTGCTCCGCAATATATCGGGCTTCTTCTGCATACTTGCGCGCGCGTTTGTATTCCTCTACAATTGTCTCGTGATCTTTGTGGCGTATTGCCTCCTCTATAGCGGACCCAACCTCGAACATGCCGCGATGGTGTTCCACAGACTCTAATATGGACTTGAGTGTCTCTTCTCTTTCTCGCCCATTGAGTGCAGGACCCCAAACCTCCTCTGCTTTAACAGCGACTTCGGTCAGCGGGACCTTGATGCCTTGCACACCATACTCGCTCTCCTTGACCAAGGCATTCTTCCTCTTTTCCGCAGGCACGGCATCAATCATGCCCGATGAGAGGTTTGCGCTCGACTTGCGACCAGAGAAACTGGAACGGCTTCTTGTGCGACCTTGTGGTGGGGCACTGAGCGACTCTGACTGGTCTTTTCCTTGGGCGCGCATCTCGTTGTAGACGCGGTCAATGGTAGCCTTTGCGCCCACAAAACGATCAAAGTTGGACTCGACAAGGACCTTGAGCGAAGCTGACTTCTTCTCAATAGAGCGAGAGAGGAAGTCAAGGCCGGAGAGAAGGGCGTCTGTAGAGGCTTCATTGTGGACTTGGGAAAGGAAGAGAGAGGGCGAGAAGGTAGTGGAGCTCAGGAGGAAGCGGTTGCCTGTGGGCCATTAGATATGCCCCGTTTCTATTTCTATATTGCTTAAACATACGCAGCTTGATATCATCCTCGACCTGCACGTTCTTGGCTCGCAGCACCTGCACTACACTGGGATACATGCCCAACGGGTCCTGTTCATCCTTCTGTACCAGCGTCTCCACGCCATCCTTGGACCGCTCAGCTCCGGGAATTTGCCGCGAGAATCGGGGGCTGGGTTCTAGTATGGAGAAGCGCGACTGCGATCGGCGAACGGGTTTCTGGGTGACTTTGGTCGCTGGTTCGACATACTCCTCATCTTCATCGGCAGCATCCTTCTCCTCGGGCCATACCGCGGGGTACAGCGTCGTGAGATTGTATTTGTTCAGTATCTCTGTCTCTATTGACGAGCTCATTGTAGCTGTGGCGAGGTTCGAAAGGTCATCCGATCTGGAAATGCCCCCGTGGAGCGGTTGTGAGTTGTGTGTCGCAAGTGACAGCTCGCTGAGACGCGGTTGCGGCCACCAATCAGACACGCGTAGTGCTTGGCAGTGGGACTGCTTAACTACTACACCTTACAACCCGACCTCCTCTGCCCCACTTCATGACATAACATCTTGTCCAGAGTCAGATAAAGGCAAGCTTACCAGAAAAGTGATGTCTGAATGATGTCTCAAGTATTACCGTTTGGTTTTCTAGTAATCGAATTGGAGCACTTACACCCCCACTCTCACCGCCCGCGAATTCAAGAGATACATGTACACTTGCACCACGCCGTGCCCCCAGTAATCGTATCTGCATTGGCTTTACTAATTCTTTTCATCGACGACAGTCTTTTCAGCTTAATGTACTATTTGTCTTTATTCAGGGTTACATTCTCTCTTCCGAAATCATAATGCCCATCCGAGTTCGAATTCCAGTATCAGCGGGGAGTTTGCCATACTTACTGGTAATTTTGTAATTGGAAATCTCCATATCTCTCTCCACGAAAGCCCTGATATCAGCCTCTTCTTCTCTCACTTCTCGACCCATGCACGCTCTGCTTTTACCTCAGGCTCTCACTCCTTGGACCCCTCTCATGCAGTACCAGTCTTCCCTCTGAATATATAAACCATTAAATTGAGGGACCATCATTTTCTCCTCTTCTCCATTCGGTGCTATCTCAGAACCACCTATAGTCTATTCTTGTCAATACCTACTTCCAGTATGGACTTGTCCAAGTCCGCATCTCCTGCTCATACAAAAACGCTTGAGGAGATTTCGACACCGGCCTCGGAAGCGACATGCGCAAGCCCAATCCATGGACAAGACGTCTTTGATTTAGATGCTGAACCAAAGGCTTCACATGTTTTAGATGCTTATCAGCCAGCGGTGCACACTGCCTCTAAGCAATCAACTCCTGATGATGACGATGATGATCATGAAGAAGAACAAGAGTCTCACTTCACGGGTGATCTAGCGGAAAACCAGCGAAGAGAAGTCAAATCCCGGTTTTTGGGCACCATCGAAATGTATGTCTCAAAATCTCAGATTATATTCCGGAAATACTTAACAAAAGTAGTACATTTGACTCTCAGGACGAAAACATGCGTGCCCAATGCAGCTTGTTGCCAAAAAGCTTCTATCGGACATTCTACGAAACCTCAGCCACTCTAAGTCGCTATGTGACTGTTGATACCCACGTGAAGCATCGCGAGAGGAAGGATCTGAAGATGGATGATTGCAACGCCTTCCAGGCTGTTGCGGTTTTCTCTCTTGACCAAAACATGTTTCTGGAGGATATCGAGAGGCACCTAGTATGGAATCAAAAGAAAATTCCATCTCCATTTATATCGGTTTTCAACGGTATCGGTAAGTATTCTACTCAAGCACCTACATCAGATTAGCCTGAACTAACACATCTCAAGACCATGCAGAGAGACGGGCGAAATTCCATTACGATACGAGCAAGCGCATTGGACAGCGTGTAAGTATCGCCAAAATCCATACTAATGGCCTCATTCCTGCCACTATACAGGCAAAGTGCCAAACAACTGTCAAAGTTTTTACCAAAAACTTCGTGCTTGGGGAGAGTGTGGACATCAAAAATTACTGTCGAAAGGTCAAAATTCCTGTGTGGATCCATAAGAAAGCAATGGATCAATATGGCCGTACTATCACACCTGAGCAGTTGAAGAAATCCGGCGCGGATATGTGGATGTCGATTACGGAACTTCGCATATCGAATCTCAAGGTGGCGGGGCCCAAATTCAGTAAGACCAGAGATGTGATCTGCGCTAAAGGACACAACTACGAGTGGCTGTGTTGCGGCGGCATTCTCGAGTCGAGAGTTACGGGTGTTTGGCCATGGGATGGCAAGCAAAGCCACATGATTCACCCTGGCTATTCAATCCAAAGTACCAAACAAAGTGGCCAGCCCTGGGTCTGGGATTGGAAAAAGAAGATGTGGCTCCCGGATTTGTTCTCAGCCTCTGTTGCTCAGAGTGAGGGTCGCGGCACCAAGCGCCAGTGTACTAATGATGAGCTGGCTGAGGATAAGAAAAAGGCAAAGACGACAGCTTGTGAGTGCTCCAAAACACGCCCGCTACTCTCGGTCAGTGCCGTTCATACGATTTGGTCTGAGCTTTGAAAGGCACAGTTGATCCTTGCCCCGATATACATCGATGATTGCGCCCTCAGATTCAACATATTTCACGATACACAGCAGGTTCAGAAAGCTAACTCGACCCTGCTCATCACATTGGCTTCTTTCTTATTCCACCTTCAGTTGATCCTGCTTTCTATCCAGATTTTCACTCCATCCAAGCGTATCCAACCACATCATCAGCATGCACTCACTTCCCTTTGATTTCACCCCAGCACACACATTCCCATGCAATCCATGCTTAGATACATGGATGAATGCTTTTATCACGATCCCAAAAACCCACATAACGAACTATTAGGAGAAATCATGTCATTTCCATTACATTCACTGCCTTCCCCGATATTTAGTACTTATGATACCCCCTACAAGAAATGAAATCAGTTGATAGCCCATATCCCAATTCTCCCACTCACCCAATATAGTGTCTTGCAAGAAAAACATGACTTGATGTCTTACCTTTACCAATTCATGTCCTCTCCCGTATTCCACCCAGATCGACAATACTCTATCCCGATATAAATACTTCCTACTCATAAACTTGCACCATATGAAGGCGGAATATGAGTTTTGTTACCAAACGTTGTTACCCCATCTCAGCAATCAAACGTTTGAAAGAACCTCTCTTTTTAGCCTTTCTTGCTCCTTCCGTCACTAACGATTTCCCCTCGACCATCTTTTTTTTTTCATTCAGTGAGAAATTCGATCATTCAGCGTCAAAAAGAAACTTGAGCTTTGCTTATCGAAGACGACTATACTTTAGACACTGTCCGTGTGAATTAGAACATGCACGAAAAAGTTAGCTCCGGCTGATACAAATTCAGGTCGGGGTCTCCGTCAAGAGTTAGTGTTTCTCAGGGAACTGAACTAAGTAAGGGACTAGGGATTCTCATATTCCAGTCTGTAGAGGTCTCCGAATGAAGACTTAGTGAGGAAGAGGAGAAACATGATGGTGATGTTGAGTATGGGGACGCTTGGGGGTATGTCGTTGCACTTCGGGCTTGACTCACACTCTCAAAGCCACCATCCTGTAGTGCCTCTGGCTCCTCTCTATGTAAAGACTACGTCTACTATTAGCTGATCACAGCCTAGATTCGCGTGAAGAGCACATTGAATTGAAAGCGTTTAGAACCCTTACAAATCAGAGTGCTGTTTATTTATATACACGCAATATATAGCTCATACATAGTTTTGCATGGTTGCATTGTTTGTGGTAGGGGACAGTGTTTGATCCGACCGGCGTACCTGTGTCACCTACCATAACCAGTACAACAAAAGTCCGGGGGAGCTGTAGGATATCAGAAAAAAAGTGGTTCTTATATTCCCTTTCTACTTGTATAAAGGAGAAAACCCCCAAGGAAAAGAAAAGAGGTATGCAGTTGTTACTTCCCTCCAAAAGAGAAAAACGCCATGATACATGTACCCAGTCCCTTCCCAATCTGCCAAGGAAACCCAGAGAAAACGAGACAAAGGAAAACGAAGCAAGGAAAAAAAACCAAGAACACCGTGAGTGCTCCCTATATCATTTTGACATCCAAAGTGAGAAAAAAAATAAAGAAAGAGGTTACATCCTTCACTGATGCATTTGACTAACGTGGCCATTCCCCCACTCACTCTCGTCATCACTGCCGATATGCGACCACTCGCTTGGCGTCATGATGCCCGCCCGATTCTCAGAATCAAACTCGCTAAAGCCGCCTTCTGAAAAAGCGTCTGTGAAGCCACCTTCGGAGAAGATTTCGGAGCGGGCATCATGGTCAGAGTCGTTTTGCATGCTGAGGATGCCAATGTCGTCAGCGTGGACGGAGGCGGCGGAGGCAGAGGCGAGGGTCATGGAGCGCTCGGAGCGAGGGGTTAGGGTACCAGTGGAAAGGTGAGAGGGGGATGAAGGGCGGGGTTCTGGGAGGGGTGAAGTAGAGGATGCGATGGAGTAGAAAGATTGTGCGGCTTGGTCTGCTTCGTCGGCTTGGGGTTGGGCGGGTGAAGATGGAGCGTCAGGGGTGGGTGTTAGGTCAACCAGGGTAGCGGCGGCTGGGGTAGAGGTGGTATCGGGTTGAACGGTTGCAGAACTTCCGCGGGTATCAGCTTGGGTGGAAGTGGAAGGTGTTTCGGCGTGGTCGTTGTCCAAGAGAGTGGCATCATCGTCGAATGGGTTTGCAAGAACAGCCGCCGCAGCGGAGCCGGCGGCAAAGCCGGCCACGCCGCGTTTCCTGATGTCGCCCTTTGCAGAGTCTGTGCCAGTCGTGTTTGCCTTGTCCTTGAGAGTACCGTCGCTGCCAACCATGTCGTCGAAGCTCTTCGTGCGATCCGCCCTCGATCTCTGTGCGGCGACCTCAGCCGTCTCGGTCCCAATCTTGGCCAACTCGTCGAGATCCACGGCAATTCCCTCTTCTCTTGCTCTTCTAATCAGCTCATTCCGATTTCTCCGAACCAACTCCTCTCTCCTCCGCTTCCTTTCCTCGAAATCATCCGACGTCTCACTGGGGCGGCGAGGCTGGATGTCATCGCCGAGATTATGCAGCGCAAGGGCAATCTTACGGCGCGTCTGGTCAGCCCATTGTCGGACCTGAGGCGATTCGTAAATGGCGATTCCGGCGGCGACAATAACGGATGCGGCGATTATAAGGCCTGATGTCAAGGGGTGGTTAGGACGATATGGTGGGGTGGTAGCTCCATGGCAGGGAGGAGCTGAGCGTGGGCCGGTGCCTGCAAGCAGGTTGGCAGAAGACTAGAGAACGAACAGGAAAAACACGGGGGAATGGAAGATGGGAAATGGGAAATGCCATCGTGAGCCCAGACGGGGAACACGAAGCTAGGCATACATTAAGTGGAGAGATGTGCTCGTGAGTAACTCACCTTTGGCTAGTGGCGCAGGCATCTTCGCGAAACTACCCGAACAGCAGGCGCTGCTGGACGGAACAGAACTTTTGAGGAAGCAATGAATGGAGGAGCGTCGATGCCGGGATGATGTGTTTTATAGCTCGACCAGAGGGGTGTGAGTGGAAGAAGAGGAGGACTCGAAGTACAGGGGACAGCAGTCGGGCGGTTGTCAGGCCGTCGCCACTTGCACAGCCGCAGGTCCGATATGCAGGGCTCCGGACGGCGTTGGCGGGGTCGCGTGCCCACGCGCGCTAATCCCGCCCGACGTGAACCTCATCGCCTAGTACAAGCACGTAGTGGGTTTAAAGCCACATATGTTCCGCAGTTGGCACAGTTAGTCACGCATAGAATATGCAAGAAGAAAAAAACACGCACATCTTTCTTGGTACCACGCCACCCTGGTCAATGCATAACTATGTACACATTATTCATGTGTCCAATATTCGAGACTCGATGACGAAATCTTGTGTAGGGACCAACACTCGGCTTATGTCGTATTCATAACCTAGTCCTCTTGCACCCTTATCTAGCCATCCACACACTCTATACTCAGTTGGACAGCACGGACAGGCGCTATTGCAGCTAGCCTGTATGTACGCAGCGCTTGCGTAGGTGTTCTAAAATCTAACTATAAATCTAGTAAATGTAGGCAGAATATGCACGTATTGGATCGACCAAAGTTCCGACAATTACACGTCCCGGTGACCCTCATGTTCTTCCAATTCCCGCATCTTCCTCGAATGTTCGCCATAGATGCCCCAGAAACAGGCAAAAATACCCAATACACTCGAGCCGAGGGTGACGTAGTATGCGGTGCGGTAACACGAAAGTCCCACCTCGCAACCGCGCTGGCCGTCGGGCTCCACTATCGAGTTGGAGTCGTAGACCGTACCGTAGAACAGATTGAACACGTTGCCGCTGACAACGGGTGCGAGAGTCATGAATCCCCAATTGACAGCGAAGCCATCCGGGCCGAAAGCGTCAACAACCAGCGCAGGGAAAACACCAAACAAGACTCCGTATGCGAGACCAGAGAGTCCAGAAACAGCCCATAGGTAATGAGGATCCTCGACACGGATCGCAGCGCCTTGAGCAAGAGCAAAAATCGCGGCCGAAATTGCAGCGCACCAGAAGCGCGAGTGGTTCAAACGCTTCACAATGACATCCGAACCAATACCAGACGAAAGTCGTCCGAGGAAGGAGCAAAGCGAGATCAAAGAGACGTGCCACAGCTGGCGGTGAGCAAGGAAGTCTTCAGCAACATTCTGATCCCAGAATTTCCAGAGTGCTTGCACGTCATGGCCAATGTTGCTAAACAAGTCAGCGGCAATATAGTGCCCAGGTACAGCTGAACATACTTGATGGTCATGAGGCCAACGCCCGACAAAAGACCCATGAGAACCCAGAGTTGCCAAAACTCCGGTCTACGTAGCAGAGCCAGTCCAGTCACATCTGCTGAGGAGTGAGCCGACTTCTTGCTTCCGGCTTCGGCATCATCGTCGACAATGTCGCCAGGAACAGATGACAGAAGTGATGATACTTCTGTAGAAGGGCCGTCTTGTTCTTCCTCGGTTGCTAGAAGTGGTTGGCGGGAGACAGAAGAAAAAAGACGCGGACAGGTAAGAAATGGGGTGCTTACTGGTATCCTGTTGCGACACAGCAGAGGACTTGAACTTGGTGCTAGCGCGGGACTTTGTCGTATGAAGCACATTTGAATCACGTCGTGTACGCTCACTAGTGGGTACCACTGCGTAGCCAGTGCCAGCTTTATGATCGACAACAATAAGGAAGGGTATTGATACTAGTACGAGACTCGAAGTTGCAAAAGATAACATCGTAAGTAGGCCGGAGGTGTTTCCTGGGAATGCGATGCCGGCGATGAGCGTGTAAAAGAAAGCACTAAGGCCAAAAGCAGCCAGCGGACATGCCGTGGCTGATCCACGGTGAGTTGGCCAGTTGAGAGTAGCTGACAACGGTCAATATGAATCTATAAGGAGTCGACGGGGGGCGTACCGGTCTTCAAAGCAGCCTGAAAAGCAGCACAACTGCCAACGCCGCTCAAGAGAGAACAAAAGGATATCAAGCCCACGCTCATGTAGCCGGGGCCTCCGTCATATGCTGGCACCGGTCAGACACAACCTTGACAATCAAAGTCGAGGTAGCATACCGAGTTTGATAGGATAGTAGCCCACAAAGAGGGCAAACATGCCGATTATAGCAGCAAGTCTTGGACTCTTCCGATCCGTTATCATGCCCATGGGTATGCCGGCCGCATACATACCCAGATTGGCGGCAGTTCCCTAATGTTGTAAGAAGGGATATAAGTCGAATGTAGCAGGGAGGGCAGCATACGATAATGTTGGTCTGCGTCGCAGAGAGTTTGAGCTTGTCGGCGAACTGTGGCGCCCATGCTGAGTAGGCATACTGAGGGGCGTTAGCATCCGAGGCGCCCTTGGTGACGGAAACGTACGTTTGTGCCACAAGCCAGGGCAATCAAAGTAGCAGCAACGACGGAAACGATGCGCGTCTTCTTGTGGGTAGGAGGAATTGTATCGGCGACCATCTTGGCCAGTGGAGAGAAGGTGTTATTGCAGCGCGCGGGTCATGAAATGCGCGATATCTTGAGTTGCACAATAGTGATAGTCGGCACTTGATAGGCCGAGGCAAACAAGGGACGCGGGAAAGATAAGTGTGCAGACGAAGATAAGATGCACGAAAAGAATGACGGGGAACGCAGCCTACACGACTCTTCAACGAAGCCAGCCGGGCAAGCCTTGGGAAACTGAACCGAGGGGTGTGATCGAGTGTTGAGGCCGGATGCAGCAATGGGCGTCGGAGATAAGATGGGCTGGCATGGCTTGGCGCAGTACTAGCCGCAGCTGGACAGGAACGTCACCGGCCTCGCCCTCGTGCCTGTTCTCCAGATTCTCCACCACCACCCGCCCTTCATACGCGACCCCAGCGGCCATCACCAACATGGGCGCATTACTATCTGTTCCCTTTCTGGCCATGCCGGCCATGAGCACTGTATGTCGCGTGCTCCATCACGTTGGCGCGCCATGCTAACATTGTTAGGTCTGGAGCCTTGCCGCCTCCTGCTGTGGCGCTGCGACATGCAGCGCCGTCATGGGCTCTTGTGGAGGAAAATGCGGCAACAGGTGGGTGTACAGATGCATGCGCTGATGTGTGTATACTGACATTCTGCAGCATCGCCACCCGTATTGCATACGCGCTCATCCTGCTCGTTAACTCGATTGTTTCGTGGATCATGCTCACCGACTGGGCTATGAAGAAGCTGGCACACCTTACCCTCGATTATGTCGACATTAAATGTCTTGGGGAGCAATGCTACGGCTACGTTGCGGTGCAGCGCATCAACTTTGCCCTCGGCTTTTTCCACGTCATCATGGCTCTTATGCTCATCGGAGTGCAAACTTCAAAGGACCCGCGCGCAACTATACAAAACGGCTTTTGGCTGCCCAAGATTTTTGGCTGGATCGGCATGATTGTCTTGACTTTCTTCATCCCCAACTCGTTCTTTATTGTGTGGGGAAACTACTTTGCCATGGTTGGCGCATGCCTGTTCCTCCTCATTGGACTGATCCTGCTCGTGGACTTGGCGCATAACTGGGCCGAGTATTGCCAGGAAAAGATTGAGACTACTGATTCGCGTATCTGGACTGGCATGCTTGTCGGTAGCGCCTTGTTCATGTACCTTGCTTCATTTGCCATGACGATTGTCATGTACATTTACTTTGCTAAGAGCGGATGTGGCATGAACCAAGCAGCCATTACGGTACGTCGAATCTTGTGCCAGCGCAGGATATGACTGACATTCACAGATCAACCTCATTTTGCTCCTCATCTCTTCCGTCGCTTCTATTCACCCTGCGGTACAGGATGTAAACCCGCGTGCTGGCCTCGCCCAATCTGCCATTGTAGCCATTTACTGCACCTACCTCACCATGTCCGCTGTAGGAATGGAGCCCGATGATCATCAGTGCAACCCATTGATCCGTGCACGTGGTACCCGTAAGGCGACCATCGTCATTGGCGCAATTGTTACCTTCGTTACTGTCGCATACACCACTACTCGTGCAGCAACATACGGCCTGGCTCTTGGCGCTCAGGGCAATCCTCACGGAAGCGGTTATGCCCAAATCGGTACCGAAGATTATGAACACGGCCTCGTTACCCAACAACCCGAATCTCGTCGTGAAATGCGCCAGGCCGCACTCCGGGCTGCCGTAGAATCTGGTTCCCTGCCTGCCTCTGCGCTTGACGACTCGGACAGCGACGACGAGGACGAAGGGCCCTGCAACAAGAAGAACCCACGTGATGATGAGCGCAACGCTACACAGTACAACTATACGCTGTTCCATGTTATCTTCTTCCTCAGCACAACCTGGGTCGCTACACTACTCACTACCAACTTTGACGAGAAGGACGTATCCGGCAGCTTTGTACCCGTTGGTCGCACCTACTGGGCTAGCTGGGCTAAGATCATCAGCGCATGGGTGTGCTACGGCATCTACACCTGGACATTGGTTGCGCCACTGGTGCTCCCGGAGAGATTTGATTATTAGTTGTGCAGTCAAGCTGAGGCTCAAGTTGAAATTTGGCTCGTCTTGAGGAAGCTGCATCAGTCTAGACTTTGGAGTTGATGTACACTTGCATACATGTATTTTTAGAACCTGATACGATTCAAGCGGGGCTAGGCGTGTGGCTGGCACCCCTGTTGTTAGTACCTGCGCATTCATATCAGTGGCTTGAAGCTCTGTGTTCATGGTGTTTGCTAGCTTTTTCTTATGTTGTTTGTATTGTACCTTGGAATAGCATCACTACCCGAGATTCTCGGGTCTGCTTTGGGATCATAAAGATCATTGCAAACTCACGTTAAACCTTTATTCCCCTAGCGCCACTCCAAAAAAACACCAAAAAAGGAAGAAAACAAAGAACAACGCTTGTCTTCGCTTTAGAGAGAGAAGAAGGGGAAAAAAGGAAAGGGAGAGCGAGTCAAACATGTCGCGCCAACTGTCACTCTAGCCCGACAGCGCAACGACACTCCCGCAAACTCTCTTTTTCCCCCATCCCCTTTCAGAAATCGGCAATCTCAACATCTCCTCAGCCCGCACGCTCACTTTCATCTTTTTCTTAGCACCATCAACACTGCCGGCGCGGCAGCATCAATAAACCTCGATCTCTCTTCCTCCCCCTTTTATTTTCCCTAAATGCAGTCATGCTTACGATGTGCGGCCGTTGCGCGGAAAAAATAAGACCGGCCGGCTAGACGGGCAAAATCAAAAGATCAAAAAAAACAAAGATCGACATAGTTGTTTTGCCTTTTTCCCGTGAACGCCGGAAGGGTTAAAGAAAAAGCGGCTTAGACGGATAAGGCAAAGAGAGAGAGAGAGAGATGGTGATGTGCGGATGTCGGGGATCGGCAGTGTGGGGATGGGAGATGTCATGGTGAAACGAAACGAAAGAGGTACGTGGGTGAAACAAAGGAAGATGTGAAGCACAGAAGGGGGGGGAGGGGGAGGTGGGAATAAGCTTTCGCCCCCCGTTCTTGGGGTGGGGAAATATACGCAAGGAAGGGATTGGGGGAGGGGGAAGATGTGGTGAGGGAACAAGGGGGAAAGAAAGCAAGGACGTGTGTATGTGTGTGTGTGTGTATGGATAGTTTTGAAAGCCGATGGTTTGTGCCGTATCACGGTGCTAATCCGGAGATTTCATCGCCGCTTTTCTTGCAGAACGGTGGTAAGGAAAAAGGTGGTGTGGTATGTAATGGCAGATATAGAAAATTGGGAGGATGAGAGAGTGGATTAGGTTCTGACAGGCAAACCATTTCATTTCCCGGGAGGTCATTTGGACGTTTTTTTGACAGTATGTAGCGTGAAGTGTCCCCCCCCCCCCTTCAAAAAAAAAGCATCAGTCAACGGACAGGTACCTTCGCATCTGAGCATAATCTCAACAAAGTCTTCTGTTGCTTTTTTATTCTTTTGAAATATACTATTTTGTGAAGATCAATGGCCTCAACAATGACTATGGCGTACCCTTCGGATCCCCGCCGTATTGTCGTGTTTTCCCAACAACAACAACAAGAAGCACAAGCTCGAGCTCAAGCGTACTCTCAACAACGACACCGAGCGTCGCAATACACAAGAAGAATGCCGGCGATAGACGAGTACGACTTGCCTCCCCGGCTGACAAGACAGCGCAAGATATCGCATAGAGGGGCCGGCGGGTTATTCGACGATACCGACGAGAGGGGTTACCGTGACGCTCACGAGATGCATCAAGTACAGAGTCTACAAAATGGGGGGCTCCAAAGCGCGAGGGGGGAAAAGGCTGCGCGGCGCGTGGCGATGGGGAAGCCGGCAGAGTCACGATTTGAGGGTTTTGTCGCGAAGGTTTTTATGAGGCAGAGCAGGAAGGCGGCTGGAGTGGCAGAGGGGAAAGAGATGGACGACGAGAGGAGTGAGACTGAGACACAGGGAAAGAGCACCGCTGAGGAAGCTGCCATCTATCAGCAAAAGGGAACCGCGGCGGTTGCAGCGGCTGCAGCGCCAGATAGTCTTTTCTTACGAGAGTGCGGTATGGTCAGGGTCCAGACGAATGCGCCGGGGGGTTGTATTATTCTTCCGAGGAATTTTGTCTATCGCGAGGATTTTACGTACAGGGAGGATCGGGATGCTGGGTGGATTTAATGTCGGCTGGATTTTTCCCCAAGTGAAGTAAATCCGGATGGGTTGGAGACCGTTCTTTTACTATGATGCCTCATGTGGCTGTTGATGGGCGTGATGCAGGACTGGAGGCGCCAGAAATTCATGAGATCCGGGACGAACGAGGCAGAGAGAACCTATCTGAGGCTCTCGTGGTTTTTCTTTTCCTTAATCCTAATGGAGGACATGGCCGGTAGCAGGCTCATCGGACCCTCCCCACACCTGCAATCTTGTCTTCGACCATCTTCATCAACATGTCCTTCTCTTTGACTGCTTTGACTCTGTCGCCCTCCAGGTCTTCCAGCTGCCTCTCTAATTCCTTCATCCTCTCCACCTGTTCTTTCTCACTCCAGTTTAGGCCTGGCAGATGCGCAATCAACTTTTCAATTTGCTGCTCTTTGAGCGTTATGTCCTGTGCTAGCTCTTTGATATCTGCTTGGAACTGCTCTGGCGAGGGTTTGGGGGGCGGCGCAAATGGTGGCTGGGAAGGGTCGTTTGTGGCATTGTGTTGAGCGGCTTCACGGGCTTCCAGTTCGGCAAAACTATCGAGGCGCTGTTGGCCTGGGGGTACACTTGGCGGCGCATTCTCTCTTATTTGGCGGAGAGCAGCTGCCATTTGATTGAGGAGCTGGGGTTATCAGCATGGCTGTGAGGTGTTTGCTTGTTGCGTGGATTGCAGTACCATGTCCAGCTCATCCTGGATTTGGGTCAAGATGTCGCGCATTGTCTCAGGGCGTGTGTCGTCCAAGTAAAAGAGTCGGGCGAGTGGGGTTGATGTAGTGTAGTGCAGGCATACGTACATGTAGTGTAGTATGTACCTACACACCAAGACGCAGCTAGCTGGCTAGCGCCTCCCTCAAAATTACTATGGAGACGGACCAATCCTCACCGCGCCCACCTGACATGCCAGTAATTCCCACGCTCACGCCCACCACGCTCGGCCTGCGCTTCACCCACTGCTATCGGCTGTAAATATGTTCCGCCCTCTCTGTTCCTCTAGGATACCGTAATGCGACCTTCCCTCCGCCCGACATGGCCCACAAACTCTTCGCAACTCGCATGGCTTCCCCGAGCAACTCCGCACCGCGTCCCCCGCCGCATCGCAACCACTTCAGCCCACAATGCAGCGCCAGTTGACCTCCCCAAGATGGTAGTTGCCCCTGGCTCTCCTCACCATAACTCACTGCCCACCTTTCTCGACTATGCAAAGCGCATCAATCTATCGTCGGATAGCACCATGTTCATTGGCACACACTACGAGTACACAAGCGCGCTCGCCCTCATGCGCCTGGGCTTTTCGCTGCTACGCATAGGACGTACCTGGGATGCGGGCATTGATCTCATCGGCCATTGGGTCTTAGCCCCATTGAGGGAGCCGCTGCCAGTCATCATTCAGTGCAAAGCGCGCAAGATTTCCGTAAACCCCAGCCATATCCGCGAACTCGAGGGCTCCTTTCGCGGCATACCGCCTGATTGGACCAAGAAGGACGTACTTGGATTGCTGGTAACGACGAAGAAGGCCACCAGAGGGGTGTTGGAAGCTGTGGGCCACAGCCATTGGCCTATGGGCTTCGTCTTAATCTCTCGGCAAGGCTTAATACAGCAATTTGTCTGGAATCGCGCCGCGTGTGACCGGGGGCTGGAAGGCGTGGGTGTTACAGTGAGGCACACGCCACGGATCCTATTACCCGACACCGAGCACGAGACCGAGCAAGATGAATCTGGCACAGCGAAGAAACGCCAGGCCAAGTTCAAGAATGCCGGTACAAGGAGGGACATTCAGTTGACCTGGATGGGCTCGCCTATCTTCCCAGAAAGGAAGGATCTGGATCGGGAGACGCTTGGCCTCATGCAACAAATCCAAGCCGATGTCAAAGTTGACAAAGTTGCTAAAGTTGCTAAAGTTGCCAAAGTTGCCAAAGTTGCTAAAGTTGCTAAAGTTGCTAAAGTTTCAAAAGCTACCAAAGTTGCCAAAGTTATTGCTGTGGAGAAACGGCGTCCAGGGCGCCCAAAAGGTTCCAAGAACAAACCACGGGTTAAAGCTATTGAAACAGTTGGACCAAGGCCCAGAGGTCGTCCAAAGGGTTCCAAGAACAAAGCAACCCTTCAAGCCGAAAAAGAAGCTGCATACAAGCCCAGAGGCCGACCTAAGGGCACAACAAAGCATTACGCTGAAAAGATGCCATTTCCACGCGGTGGTTTAGTTCCACGCACTCTTAAGCGCCACTGTGGCCGACCCAAGGGCTCCAAAACAAAGCGATGAACGACAGTTGATGATATGTAAGTAGAGATAGGGCAATGTCCGGCTTTTCAGCCCAGGGTGATGCCGACAATCAAACATGATACCCGTTGCTTGGCTGTCTGTGTAGTGCGATGCTCGGCATGTCATTAAGCAACACAGCAAAATCTCCAGAAAAGGCTTGGAATAGAAGAATGCCAGAATTCCAGAATAGTCAGCCGAAATATTCTCAATGATTTCAGGATACTGTAGCGCATTGCACATCCTCCACCTTGCATCCCGGCTCTGTACACTCTTCATGTGCTGTCATGCTCTCAGTACGGATTGGGATCTTCAAGTTTGAAACAAAAGACAGCATGTTGGAGGTTTAGGCATTAGTTCGGTTTGGCAATATTGATAAGACGTGCATATTGGATCAGCTCAAGTCGATTGAACTCACCGTTTGGCCGTACAACAAACACTCACTCTACACGCGCCCGAAACTTCACTTCATGAATCCGGAACACCAAATTGAGCCGTTGTTTAGGATCAGCAGCGCTGATCAATCGCGAGACATAGCTTCTTTTGGACACGGTGGGATCAGGTCACTTCGTGTCGTCACGTGCTCGGACTCCATTGATCGACCGCAGGGACTAATCAGGACCTGTTTCGTCTGCATATGTAGCGTTCCTGGTCTACAGCCTGGGCGTTGATGTGTTTATTACTGGTTGTGCTTGCAGCCTTTGTAGCCACATATCCGTGACCCATAACTTCCCGCTCTGCACCGCTGCACCCTGTGCTCTTGTCATCTCCACACTTTGCTTTCCTCAACCACTAGTGATGACTTCTATCATGTGTTATGGGGGCATGTGCTCCTATTGCAAACTTGGTACCTCTGTTGCCCGGCTCCTCCCGAAGAAACCAGCGGTGCCTGATTGGTGGGTAGCGTTCGCCAGCACCCCTTTACCGCACCTGCACCCTCCAAACCATGGAGAACTATGGTCATGATGCGTTTTCCGAAACAGTCATGCGAACTTTTCTCCACCACCATCGAGCGCAGAGTGGGCAACGACTCCTTTGTCACGCAATACATCAATCGCCTCGTTTGTCTCTAATTTCATCGCCTCTCATTGAGCTCATATCACTATGAAACGGGCCACCATTGTGGGAGTGATTTGTTTGTCTGCTCCTACAATACCAGAGTTTCACCTCACCGGCTACGCAATCAGGAACTCACAAGCGAAATCTTAGGACTGAGCTGCACGGCAGAAAATACGATAACACTCTACTGAAGTTGTATCTTGGTTTACAACTCTCCAGCTCATATAACACCACACGACGACTAATTACGACTAACGACGAACTTTGCCTTCCGCGTACAATCCTGAAAAAGGAAAACGAATAAACCGTTCGACGAGCTCCAAATGACCCAAAATCCAAAACGAGCGCTTACAGCATCTGCGTATCAGCAACTCGCTCCGCCTACATACTACCGCACTGGACCCTACCCACCAAATGTGTCACACGGAATGCAAATACCACAACTCAGACATGCTACACAGCCACTGATTACCAGTCGACCTGCTGATATTGGGATGGGTGCGCAAATCACAACGAGGGATGATAGGGCTATCAGCAAAACGTGGCATGACGAGTGGGATACTGAGCCTAGACCATTCGGTCCTAGAAGGCCGTTGGCGCTGCTCAACCAGCCTGTGCAAATCAATCTTCGAACACATCCTCGCAACGCCAAGCGTGTCTACCTCAATCACTGGGATCGCCAACACGAACCGAACGGCACTACTGCACAACGGCTGGTAATACAAAAGAAGCAGGACAGGATGGAAAGGCGTACTATGTTACTAAGAGCTGAGCAACAAGAAGAAAGGCGCAGAGAAGTGAAGCAGGCGGCAATGAATGCGGATGTGGTCGATCTTACCGGAGATAGCACATCAAATGAAAAGGGCCCGTGGAGACATGACTCTGTCGGACATGCGGTATTTCCCGGTTCCTCTGGAGAGACGATTCACACCTGGGGTCATTCATGGCAACTATAGGTCACAGTGCTGTCCGCGTTTGTCTCTGCAAATGAGCGAGATGTATGTAGTCGGGCTTGGGATGAGAGCCTTCAGTTAAGTGCAGTTTCCTCTTTCACGAACATGCAAACATTTTCAGTAAAACCTTTCACTTTCATACATTGGGTAAATGGTATTCATGTCTGAGACGTCAATACTACCAAGTGATAGCAGTGAGTGGAAACTTCGAGTAGTCAGAGTCACTACCTATCACAACGCATTCACTCTCATGTTTGTTGCTAGGTCAAAGCTTGTGATGATATTTTCACTTACACTGGCTCAATTCACGTCCCCAGACTTTGTGCTCCTACGTATAGAAATATCTCGCTCTTGTGCTCTTGCCTTAGTTCTCCATAACCTGTTTTGCAGAATCAACCAGCGGTTTCTAACCCATCTTGAGATATCGAAAGCCATGAACAACTTCAACCCTTTGTTCTTTTCTGATATCACATCTGCAAATATGCACAGCATCGAGGGGCTGGACCAAACCAACTCCCAAGACAATTTTGTCTCCCCGGATCCTCTGCTCGATCCGCAAATGAGCAAAGGGCCAGTCCCAGAAGGATCGACATCCCCCGACGCATTGAAGACAATCACTGGAAGGCCGCCAACCGCACCTGAAAAGACGGACTGTGATGTTCTTTCGAGCAAAGAGATATCACAGAAAGTTTCAGTGGCAAACTCTCTTGATCATTCTCATGACACCGCTGTGTCTACTGCCACTCATACAAAGACGCACAACGTCACACCCACAGGAAAGCCGCGCGCACATTTCATGCTCGACATGGCACATCATGAATACATCTTTCCCACGGGAGGAACTATCAACGCGACCATGGTAGAGATCCTTGTTCTACTCCCTCAATGGTTTCGCAATCCCCAAATCTTGATGCGCTTCTTGAACAACGGCCTCACGTCCAACATTCACATGACGATCCTGGAAGAGTACCGTCAACTCGAGCTCAATACAAGCGATGAGATAGAGCGCGCTCGTGATTACATCGCCGACTCATATCGTAAGGCTATGCGGAAAATTATGCCCGCCTGGTTAAGACGTAATCACAAGGCGCCGGAAGATTGGGATGCGACCGTAATGTCTATCGAGAACATCATTCCCGAGGCAGCAAAGAAGGGTGGATATGTAGCACCAGCGTCTATTCCATTCAAGGATCTCGCGGTCGGACTGAAGAAACTGCCTCAAGGTTATGACGCTGGAGATCTCACGCGTGCGCTCGACTTCGCTATGAAGAACGACAAGCCTGGTAAAGATGGCAGCACTACTGAGCTCATGTTCCCAGACGACATTCACACGATCTTGGATCACATCGGGAGGACTGAGATTACGCTCACCCACCTCGACACTTACGTCGTCCCCCGATATGCAACTGTTATTCGTGCCACAGAGCAAGCGCGTCGCAAGAAAATTGCTGATTGTAGAATGCAGAGGCAAGCCAGGGTAGAGTCTATTCAGAAACCCATGGATTCAACTCAGTCACCTCAGCAATCTGGATTGAATCAACATGCACAGTCCCTGCCATCGTCTGAGACCATGTCAACCCAAGTCCAAATTCAGCAGCAGACGCGTTCCACTACTATGACCTTTTCAGGCCTACAAAGCAGCATCCCATATAGAGGCATGGATATTATCCAAATGCCTGTACCCCCTTACCCGCAGCAAAACCTAGCGAACCTCGGCATCCACGCCTTCAACAATCCTTACAACCCCATTCCACAGCCGACCCACAATCTCTTACGGTCTAGCTCGCAACAAGCAGCCGCAAGCGTAGTCTCTGAGCTATTAGCAGCCCGTGGGTACGCTCAGCAGCAGCAACAGCAGCAGCAACACCAGTCCACTGTGGGGTTACCCAATATCCCAGAGATCTGTCAGTATCAGGGCGAGGAAGTCCAGGCACAGTATGACTTTGATCAGGTATTGAATTTTCAGGGGCATTGGACACAGGAAGAGCAGATGAATGCGCTTATGGAGGCAAATCGGATGGTGAACGGGGAGTTGTTTACGAAGGTGGAGAGGTGGATGGAGCAGACTGATGAAGAGGGTGGTAGTTCGTCAGTTTAAATGCGGGATTGTGTAGAAAATACTGGGGAGGGCGGCTGGGCGGGTTTCGCCCGTGAACACTTGGAGGATTAGGGGCATGGAGGAGATGAGTTGACGGTGTTGGGCTTGGCTTTGGGATACTCGACAACAGTGACAGTACAGTTCTGTTGCTTGCGTCTGGTGTTAAGGAGTACAGAGCGCGGGAAAATTTACGGACCGTCTTCGGGGAACAGTTGGCATGTCCACGGTTCTGTTGGAGGGTGTAGGGCTTGCATAGGATTTGATCTGTAGGCGTATTTTGTCTCTGGTCAATCTGGATGAGAATCATCATGACAGTGAAAGCCATCTCTAGAAGTCTTTCCGTATTCAATGCGAAACGTACCTTCACGTCGAAACATCATCACTGTCATGTCACAATCATACCCACAATTTTTCCACTTGCAGATATATCACGTGATCGTCCCTTCACCGGCTCGCACAACTCACCCAACCAATGAGACGCATCAGTCGTATATCAAATACAAGTCCCCAATCAAACCAACCACTCTCACCCTCTCACCCTCTCACCCAAACCAACCCCCCCTACACTCCCACCTCACCCTTTCCCCTCTTCGTCCACCAATTCCCACCCTTGCACCCCTCCCCACCTATTACCTCGTGCCAAAGCAGCACTCGCAGCCCGCACACCCATGCCGGACCACCCGCCCATCATCTAAAAACGGAAGATCGCCCTTCCCTCTCGCTTACCCCTGTCGCCACTGACCCACATAGCCAACCCCCCGCCGCGCCCAACCCAACCCAAGCCGCCGCCCCAATTCCTCGAAAATCCGCCCGCAGCATGCGCGCAAAAACGCCACGCCCGCAACAACCCCGTTTCGAAACATGAAGAAGCGCGTCGGAAGGAAAAAGCAAAGAAAAAATCACTTTGGAAGAAGTGTATTTTGTGGGATTGTTGCGGTGTACACGCCCCCCTCCCCTGTCCTGCCCTTGCCCTGGGTCATTGAGGCTTGCGGCGCTGGCGGGGGGCGCGCACGCAGGGCTAGGCTTAGGGGGGAGGCAAAAAAAAGGCTGGAACTCACAGGCGCGCAAAAGGAAAGAAAGGAAAGAAGAGGGGGAGAGAGGGGGCAAAAAAAAGGCCGAGAGGTGCGGGCGGATGAAGGGGGACAGCGTCAAGCGAACACACACCAAAAAAACGGGCGTTTACCTAAACTCACACGAACATGAACGATGGACGGGACAAAAGCAACAGCCAAACTTACTCATGCAACACGGAAAAAGGCGTGTGTGTGATTGAGTTCACGGACGCACTAAGAGGCTAAGTTACACTTACCCTATTCTCTATTCCCCCCCTTACTAGCTACACTAAAATATACGTTTTCTTCTTTTTTGCTTAACGGAAAAGGGACGTCGGCGAGGCGGGACGGAATCAATCAAAGAAAAAAAATACTACAAGGCTTGGGTTTGGTAGTAGCGCTGGCGTTTGGTGCGCGGAGCGGCAACACACAGGCATGCCCACTTGCCTTTCCTTCGCTATGTCCGTTTTCGGGATGACTTTTGGAAGGCGCTTTTTTTTTCTTTCGGGGTTACTCGATTCTGTTCGCCAAAGGTTTAAACAAGACGAGGGCATTGGGCGACGGAAAGGGAAAAAAGGGAAGTAGGTGGGGCGGTGCGGTTACTGGATTAGGACTGAGTCGATAGCGATTCGGGAAGATTGGGGATGTTTCTTTTTATCGGTTGGGCGCTCTTTGGTTGGTGCCATCGGCCGAGAAGGATTGGGATTGCGTTGGATATACGTGTGAAGGTATTCCAGCGTAGAACGCTGTTCGCTGGCAACGGCTATGGGAGAAACTTGGAAGTGTCCAACGGGAGGAATTGGATACACACAACCTCTCTTTCTGCCTTGCTAGAGAAAAGACAGAGAACCAAAAAAGAAGAAGGAATACATACTACTTTTCCGCCCCCAATCTCCGCCCCTCCCCTACTCTGCCCTTTCCTACCAACTTCCACAACCCCCAAGACTCTACAGTCGCCGACCATACCCAAATCCTTCGCCCCCCCCCCCCCCCCACTTTACCACTATCTCTACCTACGTACTCACAGCACAAACCCGCAACTTACCACCAAACCCCTCTTTACCCCGCCACCGCTTCCCCCCGTCAAGGAAAAGTACCAACCTCCAAACCGGTTTCAGACGCGCGAAGGATTCCGGAAGCCTTGACTTCCGGATTGGACCTAAACTGGGAAAAGAAGGATTAGGTCTATAGATATGCAGGTGAGAGCGAATTGGGAAAGGGGGGTTACGTAGGAAGAGGTATTTGGGAGGCGGGTATGTGCTACAGATGTTATGGATGCGTTGTTTGGCATGATAAGTAAAGTTTGGGGGAGGTAAGGGTAGGGTGGGTTATGTGTAGTGGCGGTGTGTGAAGATGGGCGAGGCTTGGATGGATGGATGGAAGAAAAAGTGAGGATGGTAAATTGAATTGAAGTGTGGTAGGGATATTTCTAATAGATGGGGAGTTTTTTTTAAATTCCCATGTAAAAAATGTATGAGGGTTAAGTTGGAAAATAAAGGAATTGAAGACCCCGAGTTTTCTTTTCTTGGCTAATTGTATGTGCTGTTGAGTGAAAATTTGTCATCTATATCACACGTGTATAGAGGTTTAAAAAAACCCACTGGGGTAAGTAAGAAGGTTTTTCCTTGGGTAATGGATAGTGGTGCATTGGAGTATTTGCGGTAGGTAATGTTGCCAGTCTACGTCTTTTCTGCGTTTAACTGCATATAGCATCTACGTATCTGTAGTTATGAGGCATTTGAATAGTCTCCCATTGTCTATAATATAATTTATTCTTTTTTGAAAATCACACTCCAACTTCTGCCTAGCATGTTAAAAGTGAGATGCAGGATGCAGAGGAGAGGTTTTGGTTTCATAGGTCATGGCAGAAGAAGAACGAGAGTGCTGAGACGATATGTAATGTACATCACATCGTGGATATGGAAGATAAATGATAGGAGGGGTTAGTGTATCTTGCGTCTCTGCTTTATAGTTCTACAGACTAATTTATGAAGTTTACACCATATACGGAATTACAAAGTAGTATTTACTACGACTTGGTAGATTGTGAGACCATCCCTGGCCCTTCCAAGGATCAACGACAAGAAAAGCTCTTTCCATGCAGAAATTCAAAAAGAAAGAAAGAGATATCGTATGATACTGACCGCACGTATACTGTAGGTGTACTTCCAAGACTCTTGATATGAAGATCTACACAATCACATGCAACATTTCGGTGGTGATTTCAAATGTAACAGCACAGCCACACAAGCACAAAGCGACGATACTACCTACCTCTCACGTTCGTATCAGAACCTTATCCAAACCCTTGCCTCTCCCTCAGGACCCTGTATCCATCCATCCAGACCGCCCCTCCCTACGCAGTCGACGCACAACAAGCCCCTCTTCATCCGAGTGAAGCAAGAAAAACCAGCCGCCCAGCGGACGATCACGATCTCAATGACGTAGCCCGCCCGCCCTATAGTCCCGCATCCAAACCCTCCCCCCGTAAATCACTTACATACATAGTAGTAGCCGCCCGCGTGCCCCTAGCCCTAACCCGGATTCGCATTCGGGAACACCAAAGAGCAACGCAAAGAAGTAACAGAGAGAGAAAAAACCACGAGTCAAACCCGCAAACCTGACCGCCTGTTTGCCAATAACTCGACTCATCAACGGGGTTCGTACATGATAACCCAGAGAGAGGGCGGGATCCCCCAAAAAAGCAAATGACCATCCTCGCTCCCCCCCCCCCCGGACAACTCGCTATCCCATGTCGATTCTGCGAATGCTCCGAACGGGCATCTCAGAAAAAAAGCGCAGCAAGGGCAAGCGCGTTTCGGCAAATTTCTGCCGTCGTCGTCTTCCCTCGTCGTCGCCGTCGCCGTCGCCGCCGCCGATGGGCGCTATCGCCCCGCCCGCCCGCCATTTTTGCAAACTACCTACGTTTTTTCCACATACCCTACCGACTCGCCTTCGCGCGCCCCGTATTACACGTATGGGTAAGTATATTTGTGAAACTTTGCACTTGTGTACAATAATGCATCTTTTTTTTTTCGGGTACGATGACAAGGAAAACCGTCCCAAACCGGATAGCATAAGGCTAGAGAACTGAAGTGCCGATGCCGTCGCCCTTAGGCGCCGTCGCCGTTTCTTCCTAATACGGAAACAAACCGTTGGCCGAAGTGTGAGTGAGTAAGAGAGACAGCAGGCCGAGGGCGACCAGAACTAAGGCGCCGCGTAGCGAAGACCAAACGGTAAAACTAAACGTTACTGAAGGGGGCAAACACGTCGTAACGCAGATATCATACATAAGATTCAATTTAATATCTCCGAAGCGTGACCGTTGTGATTTATTTTAGGTTGCGGATAGCCTGGTAAAGGATGGGAAATCTTGAAAGGATCGAATGTGGGGTGATACTTGCGCTGGGGGGAGAGAGAGGGTGGAGGGGGGCGAGATTGATTGGCCGGAATGTTAAATGTCCCTCTGCTTCAGATAGATTGCAAAGAGCTGTTTTGCCAACCAGAGAAAACAAAGGCGGAAAGTAAGTCAGCAAAATTGATGGCCGTGACTCCTCGAAATGCGGCAAACAAACCAATCAAAGTGCGTTGTTGGGGTTCGAACGGGATGACGATACGGGGACCAGGATTGCTCGCTCGATGCGTACAAAATAAGCGAGCGGAGTTATCTCCGCTCCGCTCGCTGGCCGTTCAAAAGTCTGTCAATCAATTTGTCTGACTTTACCCCCACTCCACTTGCTCAACTTCCCCCCTTCTTTGCAGAGTGACATGCGTAAGTGTACCCCTTGTGCCGCAGCGTCGGTTCATTAGCATCTTGTCTCGTATAAGCCAAGGGGACTGGTAAAGCTTTTTGCTTCACTTTTTGGATTATCTGTTGCCCCGGATGCCTATCAAAGTCAAACATGGACCGGTCAAAGAACACGAGATTTGCACAACGGCACACGCTGCGATTGGACCTCCAAGCCCGCCTGTGCCCCTCTGACCCCAACCGCTGGTGTGCGTAAATAGACGCATCACAAATTGCAAGGAATGACAAGCAGCAGTTACAGCTGTCCGCTCCGCTATAATTAGACGAAAAGTGGTTTAGCGTTGCACAACGGCTTTTCCATGGGACTGGCTCGACAGGCCACCAGCGGCACAAGCGGGCTTCGACTGGCATTCTGGATCCTTGGCCCTGGCCTTCTTGTGCCCGCTTATTCGTTCGTACGCCAATTTGGCCTTGCATCAAAATGCCACCCCGGTCGTCTATCTGACAGCCGCGGGTCGTTGTAGGTGATGAAAGGATGGAGACTTAGATTGTAGTTCCGACGGCATCGGGCCGCGCGCGCACCTACGACTGATTGGGGTATGAGGTGCGAAAGGCACAATGTCCGCTTCGCTTGTTTCGTGACGCTCTTGGGATCAAGGGCAAAGGGTTTTCTGGTAGGGATTTCTGTAAGACGATGCAGAGAATTAAAGGGGGGGTTCGTGCGCGTGTACAAGTGTGCTCAACGACACTCTCGCCCACGTATCAGGACCCAATGCTGGGGTTTTCTACTGTGACTGCTGCAAGCCGGGGAGCCGCATTCTGCAGTTGGCCGACGATGACGCAGCAGACTGCATGTCGCTGGCTCGCCCGCCCCGTATCTGCATTACACCCACGTTGTACTCGCCTTTAGAAGAGCCTTGGAAGCATTGCACAGGGTGCGGCGCTTGCCTACGGCCCTTATGACCCAAGTGCAAGGTCTCGGGTTCGTGTTCAGTTCCTGAACTGAGTCCCGAAGGTGGCACGGGGGGCCAAACGGAGGAGGGGCGAACGCCATGGTTGGGCGAGAACAATGGTCTCTCGTCCACGCCGCGATTTGGCCGCTGCTAATGCATGTAGTGTGGAGTCGTGCAGCAGCAGCAGCAGCAGCAACAGCCCATGTCTCTTGATGAGATGAACAGACAGCTGTTTGGTGTGTTCAGGTTTGAGCGAGGCCCTACAAAGCTGCAAGGGTAGAGACGAGTGGGCGTGGAGCAAACGAAAGCGCAGTTCCCATATTGCGCAGGGTAGTATGCATGGTCTGTGGGTGTGGTCTAACTCGGCAGCTCGGTATTCAACAGCAATCGCCAGCATTCTCTGCACAATGTGTATATATGTGTGTGTGTGTCTGTATAGACTGGTGGTATTAGCCGTCTTGCAATAGTCGGCATTTGCTGCACAGATGCCGTCTACCTGCGCTTTTGATTAAACATGGCGTACCTGTCCCCTTCGGTCACTCACCCGTTCGAGTGCAAATGCGGTGTACCATAAGCTCAATATAGTCATCCTAATTATCCACCATTCGAAGCCTCCCGAGGCTAATTGTGTAGTCGCATGCGGCAGAGTTTTGTGCCATGGCCGTGGCCCTGGGTTCTCGCGTCCGAACGGTGTTCGTCGCCTCAACGGCCTGCCGGAACGGATATTGTGTGTCGTGGAGTAGTAATTATGCGCGAAGTGCCATGTGAGCTGTTGCGTCTACCACGTTACCGCAAATGGAACAAAGGCAGAAGCCATGCCTGGCTGATGCAGCAAAGCCTGACGAATCATGTATGCGCTGTGTTCCGAGGTCTAGCACATTGCTGCATGGCTTGAAGTGGATGGGGGCTGATGACCTGTATCAGCGTTCTTATTCGACTGGATCTATTGCTGTGTCAATACAACGTACTTGGCGACCAAGAGCTAGTTTTGAAGTGATGAAAAAAGCTGGCAGTATTTGTAACATGAGGGGCTGTACGGCAGGATAGAGAGGAAAGATTTGTTGAAACTTCAATTTATTGACGTTAGGTCGAATTGGGGACAATCATAATTGATGTTGTGGGGCTATTGTCATCTGCTGAAGGAAGAGCAGTGGTACAAAGTACATCGGTAAAGATGCTTCTCGCCGGCACTCGACGGTGTTTGCAATTAAGGAAAGACAGGATATCTGTTGCGATGTTGATTTTAGCTAGTCAGATGTGAGCACTGCTGAAAGTATAGTTTGTAGCATCGTTATGAGCGAAGGAACGGCTTACACCGCTCACGTGAATGACAGTGACACATCGCATCGCGATCTTGGAATTGATCGGCAGGATTCGTCGTTAGGACCAATGCGCAAGTCTATCGAAAATAATCTGAAATCCTACGGTGGTTGTCGGCAGGTATCAACGAGTCAGTAGTACTCAAACGGAACGGCGAGATTTTCAAACAAGTTTCTGTTGTGTCTCGTATAATGTTGCGTTGTCCGTTTTGATTGGTGCTCTGTCATATTGATGTAACGGAAGAAAAGCAGGCTACCTGGAAGACTCTTGCTGGCAGGCAAGCTTGCCAAAGATAGGTATCTCTGGCGATGCACAGTTATTTAACCGTCGCCTACCCCTACCTGGAGCTTTCTGAAACACAGCGTGGCTTGATTTGAACGGTGTCAAGAGCCACGCTTTTTATCGTCTGCGTAGAACGACTCATTTGATAACATGCCAATTATCAGCTGGATGAATAGACTAGTGCGCCTCAAGCTGACATGACAAAAGTGGAAAGAGAAAGTCAGGGAAAAGGAGGAAAGGATTTGTGAGGCAATAACGTATATCGGCGTTTCAGTGTACGACCGGATACTAGGTCTTGGAAGACGAAAAAGCAAATGTAACACCCTGTTTACCAGACAGTGCTGAGTCGTGGATCTCCATCCGGGTGTAGCCAAGCGGACGATCACTGCTACTGCAGATCATATGCGCGCACAGGTCTCGGATTTGACTTGAGGGGGGGTGGAAGGGTCAGCGGTGCTGTAGAGTAGGGTAAGCTTGGTAGCTGCGACACATGGTTTTGCTACTGTAAACGTGATGAAAGGATACAACTAGCACATGGCTGGACCAAGGGTGAGTGAGTACCACTCCGGATAGCATCAAGATGGGCTTGGGCCGAGCAGTCTAAAAAGTATGTCCGAGGAGGCGCCTTCCGTGCTTGCACACATACATACACAGCACTTGAGGTTGCATCATACAGTCAAGTGTACAAGTCAAGCTGACTCGAGAAAAAAAAAGCAGCATTTCCTGGATTTCGATAATGAGTACGGTGTGTTCGGCGAGGTTGACCCACGCATGGCAATACTCGTCAGTCTTGGCAGAGGGCGATGCGGGCAAGCGTCATCATCGAGGTGTCGATAGTGATGAAGCACATCAGTTTTGGCGATAAGGATTCGGCTTCCAAAAGGTTAATTGATTGCAACAGCGTCAGATGATGGCGTGGATGCAAAGAGAATTGCGCTAGCGACGTCTTCAGTTGGTAATGAGAAACAGGGGATGGCCATGTGTCGGCATGGGCCGAACAAACAAGACGTAAACGGAGAGACTCGGTCTTGGCCGTCGATCTTGCTTGTAATTTGCAGGCCACGTTGTGTTGTGCTGGGCTTGTGTGCGCGCGGACGTGTGTGTGTATGTGTATTTGCTTCTGTTGCCCTTTTGAACAGGGAGAGAAAGGGGTTTGGGCGGGCCTGTCGATCCGATTTGGGGCGTGGCCTCAGATCTAAGCTAAACGGCTTTTCCACGCTGGTGCTGCATCTTGCTTTGGGCGATTGAGAAACACGCGGCGTAGCTGCAGGCTAGTGCACTAGAATGGAGTCAATGACGAGTCAGGCGCGCTCATCTGCGGCCTGCACAAGACAATGTTGTGTACATGCGTATTGTCGGCCCTGATTGCTTGCTTGCTCAAGGGAGTTGACAGGGAGGGAGCGGGGCCAGGTTGCATGTATGTAGATGAAGACGTACGTAGTAGCTGTGGGATGAGGGCCGGGTTGGCGGGACTGAGCCTCGACTCTGGCTGTCACCTGGATGCCTGGCATAGTGAGGCTGGAGGGGGGCCACGGCGCGGTCTAGGTCATGAGTTTGACCGCTGGTGTGCCGCTGTCAAAAACCGTGGACTCCAAACCTCGATTAGTAAACGTTGATTCAACGGTAAACTGCATCGAGGAGAATGTGCGCCACAGTCGCCAGAGGTCATGGTGGCAGGGGGGGGTGTCATGGTGAAGAGGGAAAAAAGCAAGGCCGGGCTGCAATGGGGGCAGAAGTGGGTTTCAGGTTATGGAGGGCGCGAGGCAAGGCACGCGATTGGCCCGGCGGGTAGAATTCGTCAATCTGATCTGTGCGATCTGAGCCAGGGATCCCTGCCTGCACAGTATGGAGGATCCGAAGGACAAATGCAAATACTACCGTGTAAGTGCGAGTCGGTACAGCGGTTACCCCTTCTGTGACGGCAGCTTAGCAGCGGGATGATGTTCCTGCTCTGCAGAGGCCCACACGCGGCACTGCGCCTGATCGTGGTGGATTGTGTGTGTGTACACACAGGCATACTACAGGGCCTTCCGCTTGCCTTGATTGGGGAGCAGGGCGGCAGTGGATTGGCTGGCACGGGTCCATGTCACGGGCGCGGGAGCAGAATGGCAGTGGGCGTGCAACCACGAGGTTGTATGTCAAGGTTCAGTGTCGCCGACCTGCGAGTAGTACGGCGCGGGAGGGCGACATGCAGACACAGACTTGGTTGACAGTAGCCACCATTGTCGCGATCTACGCAACCAGGGGCCCCAAGGGCAAACCAGACCCCTCCATGACACAAGTGCAGGCGTCAGAGTATCTGCAGGGAAGACGTCGTAAACCTTGGTAACTCGTAGCTTGTCCCCTTCTCCCCTTCCACCCGCGCAAATCCTCTTTTGCGTGCAGACGGGGAGAGCGGGGCGGCCACGAGCACAAAGTCAATATTGCACGAGTCGTGGCGGAGTAAGTTTGTCGCAATGTGCCGGTGCTACTCCGCGGAATGTATACATGCCGACTCGGCGCAAGGCGTACTGGGCGACTACTTGGTATTGTGTATGTGTGTGAGAAAAGCGAGAAGGGCATGTGGATGGAATGGGACATTGATGGACGTGTTTTGCGGTGGGCCGGACGGGATTCATTCGGTCGGTCGGGCAGTGGGACTTGAAACCTGTCGCACGAGAGAGAGAGAGAGCGTGGGCTGCAGACGCGACATGCAGAGCGACGCAGGATGCGATTTGGTTGCACATGTAGCCAAAGCTACTTTAGAGTGTGTAGAGACAAGACAGGACAGGACAGGACCATAGACATGGACGGTGAGAGCCACAGCTGGGTTGCTGGAACCACCGTTGGTACCAGGGGACGGGAGCCGGCACAGCAGCATCGGTCGCAGTAGCGCGAGGGGAGATTTAGGTGCGGCTGATGCGCAAGGCCACCAGTGAGCGTCAGGCCAAAGGAAAGGGCAACCAAGTCTCGTGGCCTCTTGGGCCAAGCGGAAGGCCCCGCGCGATGCTCCGACGAACAGACGGAGTTGGTGGAGGATGGACGAGGTGGTGGTGGTGGTTGTGAATAGCATTTGGGCGGCCAGTGGGACATGGGTTGGCGATCCGGCGACTCAGGGACCCCCGGCCGGTATCCAAAAGTCCAGCGGCAGGCGCTGGCAGTGCTGGGGAAAGCGAACGCGATGCTCGGCTTGGCGGGGGTTTTCGCAATCGTGTTCGACCCCTGCGCGGGCAAGGGGGGTGAATCAGCGGCACACGACTGGATGATTTGCGCATCTCGACATGTATGTAATAATGTGCGTGGCGCAGGCGTACCCAGGCAGCAGGTCGGCCTGGGGACTGAGGGGACGGGAAGGGAAGGGAAGGGGAGGGGGCAGGGTGTGAGGAGAGGTTAGTGCATAGGATAAGGGGGGTGGGTTGGAGTATAGTGGCCGCAGTATGGGCATGTAGCAGCAGCCGCCGCCGCCGCCAGTCGGTCGGTAGTCGTAGCAGATGCGCGAGTGGGATATGGCAGTTGTAACAATAGATTGGCAGCAATATGGTCGCAGCAGCAACAGCAGCAGCATGGCCGCCAACCGCAGCGGCTGAGGCTCAGCAAAACACTCACACACACCCATTCAGTCGGATGCTGCGCGAGCCGGAACCTCTAGCCTCCCGCCTGGGACGCGCCTTGCCGCTCTGGGCCTAGCGCACACGACCCCGGATCTGATTCAGCCACACTCGTGCGCCGCATGGCTGCAACCTCTCTGCCTCTGCCTTTGCCTCCGGCTCGACTTCGGTGGGCCCGACACCAGCAATGCAGCTTCACGCCCTGCCCTGCCCGTCTCGCCAGCCTTCCAGCCAGCCTGTCCGCCTGCTCGTCGCCCTCACGCTCACTCTGCCTCCCTGCCTGCAGCGTGGGGTTTGCCTTTCACGGCCATTGCCACGGGCCACGCTGCACCCGGCATCCTGGCGGCGGCGACGACAATAGCAACAGGCCGGTATCAGGTAGAGTAGGCGCAGAGCATCCCCACCGATGGCGTAGCCGGCCCACTGCTGGCTGGGGGCATGAATGGAGAAAGTTGGGCGAGCCCTGTCCTCGACACAATCAAGCAACCAAGCAGTCAATCACTCGTCACCCACGGCGCGGGCAGCCTCACTCGCTGCACGCAGCAATCGAGATGCAAGCGTCACACCCTCCCAGATAGCCGCACTGGCAGCGCCCGCCTTGCTCCCACGGCCCAGGGCACCTCGCCGACAAAGGCCACGGGCAGGCGGGTGACGACGTCTTTTGGCAATCAACGGTCTTGCTGCGTCCCAAAACGTCGTCGTCTGGCCCTCTGCCCCCTCCGAGCATGCCGAAACGGGCTCCCAGACGGGCGTCGCCAGTGCGCTAAGGGTATTCCAAATGCCACACCTGCTGCTGACTGGCGCAACCATCCCACACGCACCCACACGCTACCTTCTCGCTACCTTTCGCTACTTTTCGCTACTGGCCCGCTGGCAGATCGCTCTCCAGCCCACCAACGGCTGCCAGCACCATCCTGCTGCTGCTGCTCTTCTCGCTCTAGCACACGTCTGCTGTACATACGTACCCAGTAGAGGCCTGCTAAACTGCCATTACCGCCGTGGCGGCCACGCGCGCCCCGTCTTGTTTCCTGGCCTTCGCAGCCCTCTCTAGGCCTAAGGCTCCCCGCCCACGAGACCGCTTTTGAACAGCCATGCAGCTTGCCGCGCTCGACGCAGCATCGGCCAGCTCGACAAAAAGGACGGCCAGCGCCCGACTGAGGCCCATGGCGCTAGCCCCCGGGAGAACGACAGGCCCCAAAAGGAGTCGTCGTAGTGCCAAGCTCACCTCGCCGACCTCAATCCCTCCCTTGCGAGGGCCGTGACGATCGCACTACCAGCGCCCGGAGCGCAGCCCAGCACCAGCACCCGTTTGATCGACGCCCGAGTGCTGACTGCAACGTGCATCGTGCGCCGCTCGAGAGAACGCTGCCTCAGATGTAATGGTTCGCACGAGAAACAGCACACGAGAATGCCCTGCCAATGGCCGCCCACCTCCCCCCCTCTTTCCCTCTCAGTCTGCCAACCATCACCACGGCCACATGGTCGCCCGAGGCGGTGATCCACCACTCTGCCCGTGCCATGTATGTATGCAAGTATACTGACAAGCTCTGCCAGGCCTACGACTACTACCAACACCATAACTCTATTCCAGGGACCGTTGCGCTGTGTCCATGCATGTCCACATGTATGTGGCCAAGTACGTATCTATGTATATTCAACTTCATCCACACATCCATCCACATACTGCACACATGCACCATGCACTGTATAGGGTGACGGGATCTAGGGCCTGCCACCATGGCAGCGCATCCTGCTATCCATTTGGGCTCCTCTGGGTGCTGTGGGCAACCAAAGCTGCCAGCCCGGGCACACCCTGGAAGCTGCTGAGGCTGGCTGAGGGGGCCTGCTGCTCAACCTTTCGGCCATGGACATGTTTGGTTTTACAGTGCGCAGGGCAGGTCGAGTATCGCGCCCAGTGGGGGTATTCCTGACTATCGCTATGCTGTCTACAAAAGCCCGCCGGCCAATGTGCTACGGGCGCACCGTCATGAATCGGCAGCCAAACGGCCAGGGCCCCTAGTAGGTGCACCATGCTGCGCGAGCGGTGGGCCGCTGACGGGGACGAGCGCGCTCACGGCGGCCAGGGAGCGTCGCAGGGGGTGCGCGGGCTATTCACCCTGGTCCTCCCACCATGGAAATGCGAGCTGGGCGTCCCACTTGCTTTTTCGGTCTCCCCAAAGATGGCGTCCGGCGAGCGCCATACGCCATGCCACGATGTGATACAGGGTACTTGTCGAATCCGACGATCTGGTCCTTCTAACTAGGTCCATCGCTGCCTGTGTGCGTCGTAGACAGCCATCACACTAGCCTTTTGCTGCTCAGGGCCCAGTCAGTTGCTCTGAGCGCCCCATGACGCCCCAGCGCTCTGTGTCCACCATCTCACCATTGCCTTAGCCGCATCTTCTGAAAAGCAGAATCCTCGCTCACCTCTGCCCGTCCCGAACAAGTCAATAACTCCTCGACCACCTTGGCGTCCAAGTGCCAGGACTACTCCCTCCCCACGCCCGCCTTGATATATACCGGTGCTTCGCCTCTACCACGTTTACCGTTGGTCCGTCAGACAACGTTCACTACCACTCAACAACACACTTGCACACACACACACACACACTTTGAATCAATCCTGTCGTAGTCACCAACCCGTCATCCGGTATGTCTACTCTTTCTCCCTCCTTCGGACCCTTTGCCACATCTCGCACTCCCCTGGGTACATCCCATCCTCTGCATTTTGTCTGCAACACATCTTGTCAATCTACACATTGTCAGTGCCTGTTGCAGATATACCCCCCCCCCCCCCCCTTCTCATCTCCCCTGTTTCCACCTATCGACGCAAAACTTAATGGGTGTCTCACCTCCCTCGTACTTTCATCTTGTGTCATGGTTACCTCCAGTCCGCGAAACTGACCTGTCACGCTCAGCCTTCCATCGAACATCGACTCAGAGTCAAAGTTCGCATTTCTTCTCACTTGTTTTCAAACAACTACACCCTTCTTAACCGCAAAACTTCATAATGGTTGCCCACAGACGCGGCCCCTGGTCGCAGCACGAGGATCAGTGGCTTGTCAACCTCGTAGCTCGCAATGGACCCCACAACTGGGTTCGCATTTCACAAGAAATCGGCTCTAGGTCACCAAAGCAATGCAGAGAGCGCTATCACCAGAACCTGAAGCCCTCATTGAACCACGACCCAATCACTGGCGAAGAGGGCGAACTCATTGAGAAGATGGTTGCTGAGATGGGTAAGAGATGGGCAGAGATTGCTCGGCGGTTAAAAGGTCGCAGCGACAATGCCGTCAAGAACTGGTGGAACGGAGGTCAAAACCGCAGAAAGCGCAACCCTGAGCGTGCAGACCAACGACCCCGCGACTACATGCACCAAGCACAGCCTGGCTTCCACTACCCACTTCCCAGCACTCTTCCTCACCATGAAGAGCACCACCACATGACCCCTCGCCATGACCAGCAACGACACGACTCCCACCGACCGTCAGTACACTCGCCACATGCTCTTAAGCTTCCCCAGCCCCAGCGATTTGAGCCCTACCCAGCACCTCGACCACAGCCTCTCGACCTCGCCACATACGGATCTCACGCGGCTGTACGAGCACGAGGATTCGAGACGCCTATGCCTTCACCTTCTGGATTCTCCATCGTATCTGCCGATGGTGCTCCTTCCCTCATCACTGACACTGGCTCAGAGTCGAGGTCACCCCGTGGTGCCGCTTCTCCCCCAGACATGACACTCGCACCATTAGTCGGTAGCCGGGAAGAGCGCAAGAATTCCAGTACCCGCTACCTCCCTGCCACTGGCTTTGCACCTGAAGACGACTCTTCTAGCGATCTTTACAGACGCCGTGGCTCACTTCAGCTGCCTCCTCTGCACCGCAACGAGGCCCAGGCCTCCAAAGCAGCCCCTTCTTTTCGCGAGCCAAACTATGAGCGCCCGCAGCCACCACAGCTCCTTACCCAGCCGACCCCTCAACTCACACACCACCACTCCATGCCTCAGTCTGCTCCCACAAGTGTACCACAACGACCACTACCACCTTTCCACTCACTTGCTGAGCCAAGACTACCTCTGCCCCACTCCACAAGTGCAAGCAGCAGCCCAGCATCGAGGCAACTGCCATCCCCTTACGTCTTGCCCTCAATGCCGGCAGAGGCACGAAGCGCACCCGTCTCGCCAAAGGATCGAATGTCTCTGCGAAACATCATGTAGATTGCCTGTGTTTCACACTGTCTACCATATCCCTTCTTGTCTATATGTCACGTCCGCCACTTCATGTATCCCTATTAATAGCCGAGTTGTCCACCATCGGCATCGCTTGTTCTGGTCTTTTTTTCTTTCTTTCTCAAGGTTTACATCTGCTTGTATTGTACGAAATCATTAGGAAACATTAGGCATGACTAGCAGGATTTTCCCCCAAGTAGGGCCTGTCTACAGAAGGGGCATCACGTTGGGAGGCTGTATCATCTGGTTCTCGTTTCGGCCTGTTGCGGCCACTTCTCTGCATTCTGTGCGTTAAAGTTCGAAACGCTACTTTGGCGAGTCATCTGTATCTTGCGACAAATTGTCGCTAGCGATAATACCCAATAGTGTCATCGACACTTGTATTTGCTCTATGGCTATGTCAAACAAAAATACGAATCGTATATCCATCAGCTCGCTTCTGAACTTACACTCCCTTGTCCATCCACATGACTGATTCCTCACTTCAGATCCCAGAGGTCCAGCGACTCAGCAACAGACCAGAAGGACCACCCTCATGACCGACGATCGGCAAAGACTAATCTGTTGCCCCTCAACCCCTACCGGCAAGTTCTCACCGCCCCAATGATACCTCGTACTACTAGGCGTACCCACCACACGACAGACATTCACAAACGGCCAAAGTACCCCATGGCAGTGCCTCTACCCCCACCACACCTCGATCAAGGTCTGGACCCGATCCTGCCTCATGTACCGATCAGCTTGTGCAGTCTTATCCGTTTCAACATCTGCAATATCGCCTAGCCGCCCTCGTCATTGGGCTATGATAGCATAGCTAACGAGAAATCCTTCGTGTCAGCATTTTTTTCACTGGTTACCTCCTTCTTGGTCACTGCAGCTGCATGTAAGCTGTGGTGGCACTGGATTCCAGGTCATGATAATGTCACCTCGATACATGCAGGCTCCAGCGTCTCCTCTATCGGCTGATCCCCCCCTTCCCCCCCTCTCAAGGCTGTGCTGTGGGTCAAGTTCCCAAATACCGCCGTTAGCAGGCTTTCTCTTCTTGTACGTCAACACTTGTCGTAAACTTGTGCCAAAACCCGCACACCTGCCATCCTTGTCTTAATTACAGTATCACGCCGGCCTCATAAGTATGAACCATTTACACATCTTGTGTTCAAGTGCATTGTCACACGCACTGGGATGCTCCCCGTTGCAACCCCAAGTCTCGAATCAGAGCGTCGGCTTTTCCCCCGCTACGGCACGCCCGGCCCCCTTCTTGTCGCCATCAACGTCCACATGCGGACTGTCCAGCCTCCACATTATGCCTAACGCTTCCCTGTTCAATCCATCACTTTTCTTGCTGTGCCGTTGCTAGAAACGTCAAAGTCAACGGCGCACCCAGATCGATGCCACTAAAAACACAGGGTCGGCGACTAGAAACTCTTCACCACACCCACCACGACCAAGACGAGTAAAGGAGTCAGTGAGGGCTAGATCATGCGCCTCCCCCCCTCCCCCCTCGCCTACGATCCTACCATGTTCGGCTATTAGACTTTGATCGCCCGCCTAGCGCGCCACAGCTTCAGTGATGCCCCCTTAGCGTAAATCTGCAAAGTAACAAACCTGCTGCAAGCGTTGAGAAATATGGCATGGACCTTTTGGCCGCAGGGGACCGCTTCCATGGCTGGTACCCTAACGTGGCTATGCATGCACCAATCGATAGTATCCTCCCGGATCCTCACGCCTCGGGTCTATGCCGTCAGGTCGGGCGTCCCCGCTATCCTCATCTTTGCCGTCTAAATTGCCACAGTCCACCACAATCATCTTCTGTTCCTACCGCTAATGCATGCGCCGTTGGAAGGCCGTCCATTTGAGGCCTTTTTGGGCCTTCAAGGGAAATAATAACAGGGCAGTTTTCCAATCTGTCGGGTTCGAAAATACTCGGTCACTGGCTGGAATTTCAACCCACCTTTCATTACACGATGGCTACCTCTACTTAGGCGCTCGGGAAAAACGGTGCCATTGTGGGACAGCGCCCCCTCCCATCCGTAGATTCCCGGTCGAGAGCTTGTTATACGCATACGTATTACTATCGGCTTGCAGGTTGGGCGCTACGGGTCCCAAAAGTACAATCACCCGTCACAAGCCCAGTCCCGCCTTCATGATTACTTATTCTTACTAGATACGATCATTTCCGTTGTGCCATGTCACGTTGCTTCCAGCTGCCCCTGTCAGTGTGATGAAAATCTTGTGCTCATCGCGCTTTGGCAAGCATCGCAGCATCTCAGTGTCACCCTAATCGCAGATCCCGCCGGATACCCTCCGCAAAGGAGGGCCTTCTTTTGGCTCTTGACGTAAAGATGCATGAGCAATACCCCATAAATCTGTGCATTTATCCTGTGCAAGGTGATGCTGTCTGAACAGATTGCCAGGATGGCGTGGCCAGAACAACCTCGTCATAAGAGGAGGAGAGAAAAAAAAATTGTGCATGAAACACGTAGCCGTCAAGGCAAGGCTATAGTTGTCAATAACCTGCAGGACAAGCCAAAACAGGTGTCAGACGAAAAGTTCCTCGGTCCCAGGTTTTTTTGGAAACCATGGTACCGTGGCGGGTGCCCTGGTGAAACGCACGAGTTGACGGTTGTCTGTCGATCGTTGTCTCGCTCGATCTTGTGCGGTTCATGCGCATCATGGACAGTCGGTGCCCCAAGTTACTATGCGGTGAAGACGTTGCACGTCAAACGACTTGCGGAGTACGGGTTCCGGAACATTGCGGCTTGGAATGTGCTGGCACAACGCTTATGGGACCGAGTCCCGCACTTTTTTTTGCCTCATCCAACAGATGTACCCCACGGCCCCCGGTATCTGTCAGGGCAAGAGCATGGCCGATCTCACTTGCAGTACCTGGCTTTTGCTCTTAGGGAAAGTCTGGTTCAGCTACGGAGTACCGCGCTTTTCTTTCCCTCCCTCACTCCCTTCCTTCCTTTCCCCCCATCACCCCTTTTACCCCTTGAAAAACCAAAGCCTGCATGTACATGACATGTACAGTAGCTCTGGTGTGTGAACCAAGAAATTCAAAAGTATCACACTTGGGCGGGATATCCCCACTGGGCGTAAGTAATCAAGTGGATCCTCCCCAGTTAATAGAGACAAAAGTCAGAGGGACCCATCCATTCTTCCACCGGTCCGCCGTTCAATCGCGAGACGCTGGTGAAAAATGACACGGTGAAGCCCACTATGGCTCGTCGCGAAGGTTTCCCCGTTTGGTTCCTGCATGATCACCAGCCATTGTTGCGCTGGAAAAGCGACCAGTGCATGCACGGCGCTGGACTGGTTGTGCTTGCAACGGCATAGAAAAAAGGAGGGAGAGGGGGGAAAGATGGGTAAGGTACTAGGCACCTTGCAGCCTGACTTCGCAGCCTAGCCATCTACGGAGTCCGTCAAAACTCCGTCACAAGCGGCAGCCAGTGTTTTATTAATTCTCCTTCAACATAATAAGTATACACTGGACCTGCATGCCACCAGCAAGCGTGCGCAAAGGAGTTTTAACCCGCCAACACGGCCACTCCCGCACATTTTTTCGCATCTTCAAGTTTTCCTGCCTTCCTTTTGAATAATCCAGATGATGCAGTCTTCCGAGGGCACACAGCATGTGGTTTTTCTCGACGTCCGACGTCGTCGTACAAGAGGCGGGGTGAGAAAAAGCTTCTCGCTTACCAAGGTGAAGTTGCGGCATTGCGGCTGATCTACCCAGCTATAACACCTTGTCATAAGGGAGCATAATCTCCCTTGTAACAATGATACACTTACCCCAGTCCACCCTCTGCCCTGCGCTTACTCTTTTTTTTCCTTTTTCTCTTAATTTTGCTGCTTTTACGACAGAACCCAATATTGCATCGCAACACGAGCTAAACAAAAAAGCGTCAAATTACACCCATCCATTCTAAAATCTTACGCAACTCTATTTTCTTTTTAGATTAAATCCCCCTTCATCACGCGAGTTCAGAAAAAGACATGGCAACTTGTACGGCATCGGGCCTTTTGTTGTTTTACCACAGGAGAAAACAATCAAAAATGGTCATCTTCCAATATATAACTTGCAGGGACAAACGCTGCATTGCAAATCCCCCGGGTTATATTTTTTCCCTTTTTCTGCGCTTGGTCATTCGGGGCGCGCCAAAGCGTGTGCTATCGCAATTGGCCCAGGGGGGAGGAGTGGGAAATTCCTACCTAAACCAGATTAGGGCAGCATTGGTAGGAAATACAAATAAAAAAACTTGGTTGCGTCATTGCACGCACCCTTTGGCACGTGATTTTCTTTCCACCCCCCGGTCGGTCGCGCGTTCATGTTCTCGGCCCGGCGGATCTTTCCCCAGCCCAGTCCAGCACAGCACAGCACAGCCAGCCACAACCACCCCCTTCATCCGACATTTCCATCTACAATATTGTTCATCATCAAAACAAACACATCACCACGTGCAAGATTCTGTGTACGAGATTATCGGCTGCGTTGTACAGAGAAAAAAAGCTAAGAGCCATCCTAAAGGAGTGGTTCATAGCTTACGTGCTTTCGTCGCGTCGTCCCCCCCACACCTCCCCCCCCCCTTTGCTGCAAGGCCCTCTTCTTCGGCATCGCCGGGTTGGCAGGAAGAGGCCAAGCTGGGGACGGTCTACACGCTCTGCAAAATAAGCTGTGCAACGCACCGCGCGTTTTTTTGTTGATGTTCTGCAGCTTAGCTGGCAGGCATGTCGGCTAATGGGCTGTATGACCCTGATCAGAGTGCTGTAGATACCCGGTGGATTCAGCCATGGAGTGAGACGTTTAGGGTGAGTTTTTTTAGTGGTATATATTGCTGTTATCTGGGGGGGACTGGGTTGAATCATCCTTACCCTATCCTTTCCCAAAAGTCAATGTGGCATATTGCGTGTGGAGTGGTATCCAAACCAAGGTTGTTTTCGGATTACAACGTGCTCGGCGGAAAAAGGCTAGACTGGGGAAGGAGGTGTGGGGGGATAAAGTGACCTGCAGCTAACTGGTGATACAAATTTTAGGCTCAGCGCGATGTTGGACTCCGCGTTCCTATCAATTACCAAACTGTGCCGGGAGTCTCGCTGACAGCGGCATGCTTTGGTGAAAATCAGTTTGAGCATTTTGCTTTCAAAAGGTGCTTTTCCAATTTGCTGGCCGTGGGGTTTCGCAGGTTTACTGTGGATACCTATTGGGATCCTCTACGTCAAGTATGGAGCTTGTGTCCTGTCGAGCTTCCTCAAGCGAATGGGGGTGACGCGAATGGTGCTGGGGCGCCGCTGAAGACAAGCCAGACGGTAGTGCAGTCCAGTGATACTGTGAGGGCTTCAGCACCAATGTCAACAGTGCCTTTTCCTCCGGGGGCGCAGAAACGCCAAGAGACAGCGACATCAGCATCTGCTTCTGCTTCGCCAGTGTCTTCGGCACCAACCAGTGCAGCGACTCCCACCATCGTCGACTTTCCGAGTCCAGATGGACCCCCAATCTTGCAAGTTGGCAACTATAATTGCACTTCTCTCACGACATTGGATCTTCTCACGGGGATATTGGAAGATTTCCTAGACGCAACCTCCACTACTACTGGTGCTGCTTTAGTCCTGCTTTCATTCAATGTGCATGTCGCGTCCTCGATTGCCAACCCCAATGCCGATGCTCCTCGCCTTTCTCAAGGCCAACTACCAGGGCAAGGAAAGCTCCTTAGCGATATACTGCGAGGAAATCTCTCGGATGAGTTGTACAAGCCCACCAACCTGGCTGACGACCGAGCGAATCTGAACAATTCTTGGTATGATGTCGAGTGGAACAATCAGCCAGTACATGGATACTACGAGGGGTTGGTCGACGCTGAGGGTCACCTATATACGAATATCGGATGGCCAACAGAAGCCTATATGGAGTTCAAAAAGCTGTTCCGTTTGGTCGCCAGCTATGGCAGCATCGACTCTCAAATGGGCGATTACAACACGACAGCCGACTCTGGCTACATCTTCCCCACAGGCACCCTTTCGAACCAAATCTCTACCTCGGTCGACTCAGACGGCAGCGTAACATCCGGCTGTCTCTTTGACCCCTCTTCTACCAGTATCACGACCCCAAACGCCTCCTGGGCCATATCCACCGCCCCGCAACTCGACCTACCCGCAACCCCAGACCTCTCCCTCCTCATTCCCTCCATCACCAACCTCACCCGCTGCGGCACATCCCCCTTCCTCAACCAGACCCTCGCCAACGCCCCCGCAGACCGCAACCCCCTCCCCTACGCCGCCTTTGTCCACTCCACCCTCTGGTCCTTTGCCCCAGGCGAACCCCTCAACGCAACACAAAACGACGACACCAACAGCGTAAACCGCTGCGTCGTCATGACAAAATCCCAATATCCCAGCCGCTGGCGCACAACAGACTGTCGCGAGCCCCACCGCGTCGCCTGCCACGACCCTTCCTCCCCATACGCCTGGCACCTCTCCCCCAGCACCTCCCCCTACGAAACCGCAGAATCCCTCTGCAGCGCCCCCTCCCGCTTCAGCGTGCCCCACACCACCCTCGAAAACGCACACTTGTACTCCGCCCTAGCCGCCAGTTCTGAAGACAACGTTGTCTACATCAATCTGAACAGCATCAACACGCCCGACTGCTGGGTCGAGGGTCGCAACTCGACGTGTCCGTATCTCGCGAGTACAGATACAGATCGCACGCGCATCGTCGTGGTGCCAACGGTGGCAGCGATTATTATCTTTGTGCTTGCGGCGCTGACGTTTTTTGTCAAGTGTGCGGCGAATCGCCGGGATAATGTTAGGGGGAGGAAGAGGAGGTTGGTGGATGGGTGGGAGTATGAGGGTGTACCTAGTTAATGTTATTCATATTTTACAAAGGGAAAATGTTGTATGACTTGGTTACAAGTGGTTACCGGGTAGAGAGGGAATGGATAGAGAGGTGGGGAGAGATGTAGAAAAGAAGTTATTATTTGGATATCTGAAAAGTAAAACTATGAAAGGGTATGCAATGGGGGATAGTGGGGGTATCACTACAATAAATAATCAATCAAACTCCAAGAAACCAGACCCCATCGTTGCTCAAAACCAAGGCATCATCAGTATAACCCCCCTCCTTCCTTCTTCCCTTCTCCTTCTAAACCCCTCAAGCTGCTACAAAACGCCACGCACACTCCACTCAATCAATCACAATAAGACCCCGCAAACCTCTTCGTCCGCCCCGAACTCCTCGTCGCCACCCCACTCGCCGTCTTCCTCGCCTTCGTCTTCGGGCCCACATACCCATCGCCATCACTCTCATCCTCCTCTACTGCCTTGGAGACGCTCGACCGCGTAGCAGTTTTCCTATACCGCTTTGCTGACAGCGGCGACTCTGCGTTCTCGGAAGAAGAAGAAGAAGAAGAAGAAGAAGAAGAAGAAGCGAATTTGCGTTTTGTCGGGGAAGGAGGCGTGGATCCAGGAATTGCATCGCCATCTGCATGTGCATCTCCGTGGTCGAAAGAGGAAGAAAGAGACGAGGTAGAAGCAGAAGCGTGATCCAGCAACTCTTCTTCAGATTCAGACTCAGACTCCGACTCCTCGACTACAGCTTTCTTGCGCTGAACAGCGCGGACACGACGACTACGTCCTGGTGGCGCGCGGCGCACTTTCGCCAGCCTCAATCCCGCAGAGTGTCTAGCGATTGCTGCAGCGTCGGCGTGCTCGCGGTGGACTGGGGCGGGGCCGCCGATGCGCTGGACGAGAGCTGCGAAGTCGGTGGGGTAGATCCAGTCTTCGTCTCTGTGGTCCAGACTGTACTGGATGCAGCGGGTTAGGTCCAGGGCGTCGGGGCCCGAAGGCATGACTTCGACGCCCGTGGCCAAGTCGCGGAATGGGATTGTCTGCGGGGACTGCGGAGACGACATTAGATTGTCTGGGGTGTGGAAGTTGGAGACGCTGACGCTAGCGGGGTTGAAGGGGGTGGGTTTTTTGATGTCGGTGTGGGTGGTGACGGTCCAGGATTTGTAGGCTGGGTTGGTTTTTGCGCGGATGTTCATCTGGCCTTTCATCATGCGGTAGATGGTGTTGTTTTCGATGGGGCCGGCGGGCATGGTGCGGTAGTGGTTTATCATGCTGGCGAGGGTCATGGCTAGGGCGCCGTTGGAGATGAAACGGTCGATGATGTCGAAGGACTTGATGGATTGCGGGAGGAAGGCGGTGATTTCTGCCATGGTTAGATTGCCTGAGGGGAAGGGGAGCCAGGGAGATGGCGCATCTCGGAGCTTGTTGTAGTTGAGAGATGCAGAGGATGTGGACGGTGTCCATGTGGTTGGTGACTCGCTGTTAGCTGGCTTCTGAGGTGTGCGATTAGGCAGTGTCAACGTCTCTGATGAGCTGCTCTCCATCGTGTGTTCCTGGTCAGCTTTCGTAGTCTGCCCGACTTGATAAATGGGCAGTGCCTGGATGTCTACATCGCGCTTCGATACTGTGGCTCGCAGTGGAAACCATCCAAGCACCTCAGGTATGTTCTCCTCTTCCCTATATTCTAAAGCATTCTCCGGATCGAGAACCCGCGCATTGAAGGGAGTCACAGCATTCCCCAATCGGTGCTTGTTGTAAGCATCCAGGATAGTCCGCTCATTGAACATTGCGCGATGTAGTACTTCCATGGGGTCGACATGGCGGCTGTTGCACTCTTCAATGGCTTCCCAAAGGAGATGCTGGAGTTGGTCTCGCAGACACGGGATGTTTGTGTAAAGATACCCAGCATCCAACTGTGCGTCATCTAACATGTCTTGGACCTCTGTACGCGAAAAAGCGTCTGGAGTGAATTGCTCTGAGAGAGAAGCCATTGTGAGTAGCTTCGCGTTGGCTGGCTACTCTATGGGAGTTGTGTGAATGCAATGGTATTGGAGCGTTTATGGGATTTAAAAAAAAAACTCTGTTTTTATAAAAACGAAGCCTACTGCCTAACAATGCATTGAGCCCCCGCGTTCACTGAGGTACCGGTGATCTCGTCACTGTGAAGTGAAAGTGAACCCCTAGCGGTGATTGCGACACCTCGCTGTGTAAGGACATTGTGCGTTGACAGAAATGACTGGTATATAACAAAGGGCCTGTTATTTCAACAAAATAACAGAGATGTCCACTCGAACATTGTTCAGGTCTTTGTCTTAGCCATGTTCGAGGTGGTGTAGCACTCCAATCAACCGGAGTGACTTGCAAGAAACCCGCATACTCATGAGCCTTGGTGGGGAGGACGGACATGCATTGATATATTTTTTGCAACAGCAGCTGGTGGCTTAATAGGGATACTCGTTTCGCACCTGCAGGCAGAGCCCGTACTTTAATGGCCATTGTTATAAGAGTGACCTTGTAGAATCGTTCTCACTGGTCGTTGGATTGTGTTTGGCCTATTATTCCCAGTCTTGGTCTTAGCTTTGCGTCAGCCGATTAATGAAATAACCCTAAACAAACGGCCAGGGATATGCTTTATTCGAATCCGGGGCGTCGGCAGCCATGCTCGGCAATAATCCAGAAACCCTGTTTCACAACGTGCTCCTATCGGATAGTTGCGTTTAATATGAGGAAGAAATTGAGGAAGAAGGACAAGAGGGTGGATGATGAAGTATAGTTCTTATCGTGACTTGGCTGCGACAAAGACGGCTAGGAACTGTTCGATTCAGCTGCGTTTTCCCTCTATATTTCATTCCCGTCTTGGATTTGAAGCTTCGATAGGGAGTGCTAGCTGCTTACTCTTATAGCCCAGTCTTTCCAAACTGGGATAGGAAATGGAAGGGTTATTCAGTTGGAGGTCTGTTTTATGTTAATTCGAGGATCACGTGATGAGCAAAGTCACCGGATCTGATAACAGAATTTAGTTTTCAGGTACAAGTAGATGTCGAGCGACCTAAGGCTACATTCTCGTAGCTTTAGATGCGCATATAACCGAACACGCTAGTAGCTTCATGAGTTCCGTTTCCGAAACGGAACCTGAATTGGGGAAATAGAACGCAGAATGTAGCTTGCAATTCGCGCAACCGAACAAGCTTTCCAGCCCTGTTTTGTAGATGGAGCGGACGGAAAACGGATACGTAACCGAACAGGGCCCTAGTAGTCGTCTACCGCATCAACGGTTGCGCATGTTTTCGTGGGTTCCCGCATGTCCAACCACCACAGCCTCAACAATGGCTGCATTGGAAATCCTACTTTATACCTTTCTCGCTGAAAGCTTATATTACCATGCTTGCAGAATTTGTCATTACTCTGGTTGTTGCCTTTGTACACAAGTCGGCACTTAGTCCCATGATTAGACCGTGGCAAGTTGCCCTAACGTTCACTATTCAGCCTCAATAAGCACTCTTATTCAGAATCACCCAATGCAAGAACAAAGAAGTTGGAGACGGACAAGGAGAGTCTCCCGCACCAATGTGCGGGCCCATCTGACATTGCGAAGATGCACGGGTTGATGACGTTGCCGCTCTTGCGCCCAGCAACGCCATGCAATGCCTAGAACACAACTGGCAGGTCAGAAGGCTAACGACTTGGGATATTACCGGATTGCTTCTTATCCACGACTATCCCGTGTATCCAGCGGACATGTATAATGTCACCGTGCGCCTGTAGTACGTACGGCTGATGCTGGCATTGGTTGCCTGAAGACGGCATGGTTCCTTCTCCACCCGGGCTTCCATGGACTGCGGTCTTGCCAAGCAAACGCATAGTGAAAGGGATATAAAGTGAGGTTCGGGCAAGAGTTATAAACTTCCCTCTTACACCCGCCCCGTTGGTTGCTCGTCAGGTCATCATGAAGTTTGTATTCAACCTTGCCTGGCTGTCGCTTGCTGCTGGCGCGACTATTCGCAGCTCGCAGCCAGTTACCTACGATGGCTACCAGGTCCACCGCATCCGGGCCATTGGTCAACAGGGCGTGATGGCAAAGCGTGCAATGTCGTCCATTCCTCACGAGACGCTCAATGAAGCTCGAGGTTCCTGGGACGTGCTCATTGCACCAGACCAACTCGATGCATTCAGCCGCCTCGGGCTGAAGTCGCGAACCCTGCACAAGGACTTGGCCTACTCCATTGCTCGCGAGCGTCAAGTCAGGAATGTTTGGAAGAGGCAATCAAACGGCTCTGATGATGCTTGGTTTGACAGCTATCACCCCTATGAAGATGTAAGTGCATGTTTATCAGTCTCGAGGAAAGAATCATGCTAACATCATTGAAGCACATCACTTGGTGGAAGGATCTCCAGGCCACTTTCCCCGAGCAGTCAAACTGGACGAGTAGCGGAACGTCCTACGAGGGACGCGACCTGTTCGGTGTGCATCTCTGGGGAGCAGGTGGCCCTGGAAAGCCTGCAGTCATCTACCACGGTACTGTACATGCCCGTGAATGGATCGTCGCTCCCGTTAGTAAACCCAAAAAGGCAGTTCTCCTTATCATAACTAACACTTTATAGACCATTGAGTACATCACAAAACAGCTCATTGATGGATACAAGGCCGGAGACAACGACACAAAGGCAATCTTGGACAAATACGACTTCTACATCTTTCCCTTTGTGAACCCGGATGGTAAGCTGCGACTCACTGCATTGCGTTGACCAATTCACTCACACGTGACAGGTTTCGTCTTCTCCCAGACCGACGACCGTCTCTGGCGCAAGAACCGCCAGCCCCCACCCGCCAACCAAAACCAAACCTGCTTCGGCCGCGATGTAAGCACTCCCCAACTTCCCCCAAACTTCGTATTCCAATTTCAATCTCAATTCTCAATTCCAATTCCAGTCCCACTAACCATATCTTGTAAAGATCAACCGCAACTGGGAAACAAACTGGGACGCCGACCCCCGCGGCGCCTCGCCAGACGCCTGCTCACAAGTGTACCGCGGCGAGAAACCCCGCGACGCGCCCGAAAACGAGAGCATGGACAACTTCATCCGCAAAGTCCGCGACGAGCAAGGCATTACGCTCTACATTGACTGGCACAGCTACTCGCAGCTCATCCTCTTCCCCTTTGGCCACAAAGAAACGCTCTACGCCCCCGAACTCGGCATGTGGACCAAGACGGCCTCGCTGATGAGCGAGTACATTCGCGATTCGTCAAGGAACGATACTACGTATCTGTTTGGTCCGAGCGGAGCGACGCTGTACCCCACGACGGGTGCGTCGATTGATCATGTTTATACGATTGGTAGGGCCAAGTTCTCGTTTACAATCGAGTTGCCGGATACCGGTGACTTTGGGTTTGTGCTGCCGCCAGAGAGGATCAGGCCTGCGATTGAGGAGCAGTGGGTGGGACAGCAGGTCCTGCTGGCGCTCTTGGACGAGCCGTTTTTTGACGGTGTGGGCCCTGCGATTGGGACTAGTACGTGGTAAGGCTGCTATTCGTTTCTAAGATGATTGATATGATACACTATGTATGTATGTAGTAAATAGAAAGATAAGAAAGTTGAGCGAGAAAAGAGTCAGGCCATACTGTGTTGAAAGTTCATGCTTGGCTTCAAGCGTTGATGTGAAAAGTCGGCTTCACTTGGCCTTGCATGAAACTAACGTCAGTGATATGAGTGAGAGCAGCCGCGCCATTCTCCATGCCCTCAATCTGATCTTTGGGCGTCACCAGATCACTGCCCCTTTCAAACCTCACTCGTCATCAATATCATCATCACTGCAAATCAATGCCAGGAGAGACTTAACTTGAAGTCGCCCAGCATGCAACGCAGTGCAAGCAACTCAACCGCTCCAGACTCTGCACTGCAAGATCTAACAACACCAGAAGACAGCATGGGCGGACCGTATCGAACGCCATCACCAGGCAAGGGGGCGTACATCAGTACAAGTAAGTAGATCCAGAATATGGTAGTCTGAGAGATACCAGGGCTGACAAATCCCACCAGACACCACCGCCGAGCCAGAACGGCTTCTTCCTGGATACCACCATGGTACCAAGACTCGAGATTGTTTCGTCGGAGAAGATCAATTGGATGAGCCCAAGACTCCTACCAAGAGTCGTACGGTGTCCTGGCATGGATTGCTCTCACCGCAGACTCCTGGTTTCGTGAGTGATGGCTCGAAGGAAAATGTGCATTTGGACGTCGATATGAGCGATGTCGGTACACCCGGAGCTCCGAATGGCTTTGCAGTTGGAGGAAATCCCGATCGAGACATCAATTGTGGAGAGAACAAGAACGATGGCGATGTCAAGATGATAGAGCGGGATGCGACACTTGCGCGCGAGATCGAGAGAGCTTCGAGTCCTAAGCCGATGCGTCGTAGTGCTAGACTGCGCAGACCGCCGCCGTCCTTGTGTAAGTTAGCTGCCACACGAAACTCCTCGGATATTTACTGATTTTGTTCATGGAGATGACTTGAAACCGTCTACACTGACTACACCTACTCCACGTGCTACCCGCAAGCGCCCCGTGGACCAAGAACCCTCCGCTCAACCCGAATTCAGCGTTGTAGCTTGCAAGTCCAATCCCATACCTTTCGAGGGTCTTCCGACTGTGCACTCATTGTCCTGGCAACTGCAGTACCCGCCTGGCGGGAGCACGCATCCGTCCTATCCATACCCAGTTCTAGATCCGCGGCTGATATTCCACCCACCATTCGTACCCGTTGTCGATGGGCTACCGGATATTACTCGTGTACCAAAGCTTGTTCTGCCAATGAACTGGAAGCATGTCTCCTGGTGTGGGCTTCTCCCTATTGTCTTCGATCCTTACCGTCAGGCGTTCAAGCTGACTCCTGTCGGACCACTGCCACTCACTTGTGAAGAGCTACGTCAGATTGGCCTACACAAGTACGTACCAGGCGGAGAGCTTCACCCAGAGCATGGCTTGCTACCCGACATGCTCAAGTTGAGCGACGGATCAGACGCAGAAGTGTTTGACTTTGATGGTATCGACTGGACGTTGCCGTGGGAGGGCCAGTTGAACTTCCATGCACCGGCTGCCTCAGGACCCGAATCGAGCAATATGACTGGTAGCCTAGCCGGCTCTGGTACTTTCAACGTCTTCAGCCTAGAGATGTCGCACCCGTGGCGTGAGGCGCGAGACTGCCCCGACATGGTCATCGACCTCGCAGACGGCTGGCGCTGGCTTGCCTCGAAAGAAACCGATCCAACCGCCAACTTCATCCCCACACCAGGAAAGACCCGACGCGGTACTGGATCTCTCCGCTCAAACCGCAAACTCAAGTCTCCAATCCCCGAGATCATGATGCTAGCTCTCGAAGCAGAGCCCTCTGCCTCACCGTTGTCAACTGAGCTCAACCCCATCCTCCAGAACCAAGACCACTACCCCACCAGCCCAACAGTCAATCTATTCTGTCCTTTCAAGAGCGTTGCCACACCCGTGAATGTCGATGTCACACTACTGGGCGACACAGAATTCACCATCATGGAGCTGCTATCCTATTTCCCACAACACTACTACTGGGGTCACGCAGCGGACCGCCTAGCACGTGCAGGCATCCCCGCGAGTTTTGTTTGCAAAGTACTCATCATGACGCGTGCGCTGGACGGCGATACCGTACCCAAGTCTGGCACTATTAATAGTGCGGCTAGGAATGCGCGGGAGAGGGATGTCCTCAAGCGCGGAGCCACGGACGAGATGAACACCGATAACGGCGATGGAGATACCCTTGTTCCCGGGCCGGCCTCATCGACTAAACCTGATGGTGCAGAAATCGTTGCTAGCTATACGGCTGAGGGCTGGGCCTACGATATCTGGGGCAAGATCGACTATCCACTTGTTGCGCTTGCGCACGGGTTGCAGTCGCTTCCTTCGGGTGTAGATGCTGGGCCATTGACTAAGGCGATTCTTTGGTGCAGGGAGAATGAGGGTTATCGCGTTCTCCTGAGCGAGGTTCCTGGTTTGCTGAAGGAAATGGGTATTGAGTCGTTGATTGAACCTGGTGAGGCTGGATGTCCTGACAAAGATGTCACGGGCAGGTATGCAGAGGCGTTGAAGAAGGAGCGGTTGAGGTTGTCGAGGATGGCGAAGGCAGAGAAGATGAGTATGGAAGGGGGTGCGGAGGGAAGGAGCAAGAGGAGGAGGCTGGTGTAGGGGTGTGTGGTGGAGGGAAAGTTATGGCAAGGAAGTGATTGAGATGGAGACGAAAATAGGGAGGTGTGTGGGAAAGGAAAAGGCTGCTGGGTGAGGAATGTCATGTCCCAGTTGGCTGTTTGGTCAGTCCTTGTAGAGGATCATTGGGAAGTGACACCCATCGCTCCTAACAATCTGGGTAATGGCACAGTTTAAGCTAAGCAGGTAGTCAACAACAGCATCACACTCAGTCCGTGTGATACAACAAAATCCTAAGACAATTCATTTGCTTTCGTATACATCCTTTCCGTACCTGCCATTATGCACTTTGTACAAAAAAACGCGACATATAGAAGCCAATTTGATGGTACAACAGCCATTTTACACCCGCACCGGGCTCGTCCACACACTATAGCGAAGGAATGCCGCGTAAAGGACCGAGACCACACTACTTCTAGTCAGCACAGGCCCATGGATACCCATCTCACGAGTTGGCAAACTTACAGATGGAGGTGGTGAAGGGCAGCCACCGTTGGAGCTCATGTAGCATCCCATACGCGCAGCATACTTGATCATGCACTTCTCGTTCTCACTAAGTAGATTCACGGGCACAACGGGGTCGACGCATTTGCATGGCTCCTTGAACGTTGGCGTCCTTTCGTGTCGGTGAGTGCGATTGGGTTTTCGGCCGTTGTTGTTAGATGGGACGCTAGCTTGGGGCTCGGCCCACGCATATGGCGATGCGAGGGCGGTAGTGGTGAAGAGCAGGGTGGTGAGGACAGTTGGGAGATGCATTTTTGAGTAATATGTCGACACGGACTGGGATGTGAACAAGGTAAAGACCGGATGTTGTCGGATGGGCCAAGACTACTGTGGTTTATGCGACGCAGTTGTTTGGCAGGACTTTTTGTTATGTTTAGAAAGGGAAGAAAGCAGTGCAGCGAAGGCTGGGCGGGAGAGGGGGTTTTTCTCTCTAACACCCAATATGTATTGACGATCGCGTACGTCGGCCAATATATGCAGCTTATGAGGCTGCACCATGTCCGTTGGTGCTGTCCAATTACGCCGGGCCGGCTAAACAGTTTTGCCTCAAAATAGAGAGGCGTGCTGGAACGACAGCGCCGATAGGCGAACTAGACTCTCAGCCGCGAGATCTAGAGAAGTCGAAATGGGAACGAAGGCTGAGGCTGCATGTACACATTCGTGTTCTGGAAGAGGGGCTGTGGGGGGCTTGGCAATGGTCGTTTGCTTACTGCCGGGCTTTCTACTGTTCCTGTCGCTATTGCGAAGCGAACAAATCCAGTGTCTTTAGGAGGCCTCAGGTAATGGCGAAATGGTCATTGAACAATATGCGCAAGATTTCTGCCAGTTACTCGATTGCTGCTTTGCCCGTTCTTCAATAGCGTCGCGAAAAAAGGACCTCCAACGCCACTCCCAGCATTGGATCCTTCTTGCGCCTCTTCTAATCTAGATGTGGAAAACCCCAGTTCGCCATTACGTTCGTCGTCTTCTGTAGCTGGCCAATGAAGCCAGAAACTATAGGCTGACTTGTAGCGCTGTTCCGGGGCGTTTGGGGGCCGATCGACTATTTCTATGGAAGGCAAGGCTACGTGATGGTCTAGTTCAACAACGAAATCGTAGCCATTGGATTCGCTTCTTTTTCGTGCGGCACGGCCTCGGTCAGCTTACTATGCATACGTGGAGACTTCAGCTTTCCCCAGGTAGTGTAATGGTACGTACTAGGCTATCCCCGCTTCCAAACGACAAGAAACATGAAAAGCTCTGGTCTTATGTGCCACGGCTCTGGACTCGCGAAAATCGATAAGTAGTCGTTCCGAAAAGGCCTCGAAGCTGCCTACATTTTGCGCGTCGGCCCTTGTATCGAGCGAAGGATTCGTACAAGCTTGCTAGTGTCGTCGTGTTGGCGAATGGCTGTGGCTTGGAGACTTGCCGCGTGGCGAGCCGGCGCCGGCACTTAGCGCGTTTTGCTCTGCCCCAGGATTCTGTCTCCTCACTTCTTCATCGCGCCATTACTCGACAATTACAACCATAAGCCAAATGCAAACAAAATTAGCGCCTGGCAACAATAGTTCGAGTGATCTTTGCATCGGATCAATGCCCTGTGTGAGACTGGAGTAATTCAGATATGTAAGTAAACAGACATACTATATTTAGGATAGTTAAGCTCACACTTACGTACGTACGTAGGCTAAGCTCACTTCAGACTAGTTCAGAGGCAAAAGCATAGTATGTACCAATCGAACTCAGCAGGTAGTTTGCACCTGCGTGATACCTATCATTTCAACCAATCCGAGAGTTTGTCTACTGTTGTATCGTCAAATCATGACTATGAAGTAGACTATAGTGTAGCTGGACGTGATTGGACCGTGGCTATCATATCCAAGATTCATGTCTTAGTGACCATCCCTCTCTGGAAATTACATATCTTTCAATATCTCAAGTGCCTCTCCAAGTTCAAATGGTGCTATACTAATGAATTTAGCGAATCCCGCTGCCGTTTGTCAGTATGGATCGAATAAGGACACCCATCTGGGGTTCCATTCAAAACGAGTGTATGCTGCACTCCATGAAGATACAACGTTGCCTGACTCGTCTTCGCATTGGATTTTGGGGAAGCGGTTGGTGGGGGGGGGTAAACTAGGTGGGGCTAGTCAGGCGAAGAGTCCAGAGATTAGGAGTTTAGCAGTAATCAAACACCAGACAGTGGGTTATTACCAAGGGCAAAGTTGCTGTGTGTAGTGAAAATGTTTCAATACAAGCATGGGTGGGTGTTTAGGATGGGGTGGCATGATGACAGTGGGGTAGCTGCTAGCCTGCATAGTAAAGCCAACTTCTGTAGGAATCAATATATATGTGAGACGTTTAAGTGGAGTTAGCCGCAGGTAAAGAGTAGCAAGAGTTGATTGGAGTAAACGGTCTGGATTCACGTAGACGAACAGCTATCGAGCCTTGGTAGTGTTCCTGCTGCTTACATATGTAGTAGAAGGCAAGGGCTGACTAATAGGAGCTAGAGTAAACTGGGCTAGCCCGAGGTAGCTGGTAAGATAAAGGAGAAGGTCATGTCTTGACAATATAAGTTTGCCTAGGATCGCCGACTCGATCAGAAACTTCTTTCGTGGCGAGCTTGCCGCCTGGGTTGAGATTAGTGAACTTGCCAGTCGCAATGTGACAAGCTCTCGTAGTTGTGACAGGATAAAATGGCCTGACTGTAGCACGAGAGAGCTTAGGACCAGAGAGAGGCTGTGTAATGCGCCGAGATCGGCTCTATTGTCACAATACTCTCAATTAAGGCATAGGAAGGCTGATTTTTGGGCCAATGAAGCTATAGTCACGTGTATAAAGTATATGATCCTATCCGTACCTTGGGTAACACCTCAAGGATTCATCTCAATTCACTCTAACTGAGATATTTTGTGCTTATCTGCCGAGGTACCACAAATCTATCCTATAACGTCCCAGTGAATTGCTTTCCGGGGTTTATGGAAAGATAAGTCATCTTTTTCAAAAGATCAAAGTGAGATTCGCAATTGACGAGGAGAAAATTGGCTTAATGGCAACTACTGGTATAAATTGATTGAGAAGGTAACCTATCTGCAACGAAAAGCAATCCCAACACATTAGACTACTATGGCTATCGCATATCTCCGTCATGTATCATACAAAAGAAAGGGTTCTATTTGGTTATGCGCAAAGAAATCCACGTGAGGCCGATGAGAGTTATGATTGACCTGTTCAACCCGATCCCATGTTCAGTACTCTTCAGCCTCATCCTTGGACGCCACACACTCACTTTATAACAAAGCATGTAGCATTACCACCCAAATTTTCAGTGTTCGAAAGCAGGGTCGTGCTGACGTGACTCCCTGAGCCGCAGCTCTAAAGCGTTTGTGCAGGCTTCTCATATGAACCCTTTCACTTTGACTACAATTTTTTTCAATACCCAATTCTGGCAGGTTGGGCCCTGGCCTGCTATTCTTTTCTGAGAAAATTAACCTAATACGCTATACAGCAATCCTATAAAAAGAGGTCAAGTCATAACAAAGCATTTAATTACCGCAGTCACAACAGTTCTACCACGAATTAGATGCAACATCGCCACACTCCGTGTCCTCGGCTTGCTGATAGTAAATGCTCTTTGGAGAAGCTACTCAACATATCTGGACTAACATATTTGCAAGCCGCATAAGCCACTTGGCACCCGAACGAATCCAGCGGAACGTCTCGACAATGGCCTCCAACGTCGTAAAGATCCGCTTCCTGACTGCTGCCCAGGTCATCCATATTCACAACATCCTAATCACGGCTTCCGAACCCACTCAAGTGGCCATGCTAGAGTCAGCAGTCCAGTCACCCATAAATATCAAGCACTACACCAATGAACAGAACGTATTCCAGCTTGCGGCAAGCCTCTCTGAGAAGGTCATCAAAAACCACGCCTTATGGGATGGGAACAAACGCACAGCACTTCTGGCAGCGGACCTATTCTTGAAAATCAACGGGTACAATATCCAGATGGCATCTCTACAGGGGTTCGCTATTGCGAAACAACCAATACAAGAAGCGATTCTTGCCGTATGCACTGTTATGGGCTGGGCCTTTCAGGATACTGTTGGAAGCCAAAGGTTATTGTATTGCTTAGGTCTATATAAAGTAACGAAGGTATGGTGTCTACTTATAGTGTCTGTTCTCTTACTAAGCTAAAACAGGGTAGGTATATAACCTACCCTACAATATGCACAGGCAAGTGGACAGCCGAGTACCTCGGTCAATACTACCAGCAGACGGCTAAAGAGCTTGACGAGTTCAACTCCTGATATTGTACAAAGATACTCACTGCCGTAAAAACATCTAAAAACACGGTAAAGATTGTGGGAAGTTGCAGTTCTCTAATGTTGGGTTGGCAGTCACCTCCTTTGGCCGCCGCAGCTACCTGTCATGCAATCAACCTCACCACATATTTTCACGTGGTGAAGGAATCTTACACACCTGACCACGCATAACTGCCTGAAACTAGTGATAAGAAGTGGTGTGTGATATAGTATGCGACTGTGTGGAACTGGTGGACTGATAGAATTGAAAAAAAAAGGTGTGAGCGGGTATGCGTGAAGTAGTAGTAGAATGAAGACGGAAGAAAGAGATTGAACCCAGAGAATTAAGAAAAAAACTTCGTACGAACCCCCTCCTCCCCCCCGTAATACCGTTGGGTAGGTATGCATCCTTACGTACCCTCTCTTCGGCCTATCCATCCAAGAATGGAAGTTAATCCTGGCTCCCCCTCTTCATTACATAATGCAAGTCGTAGTAAGTAAAAAAAAAACACCCTGGTACATTCTCCACCGGCACAACCTTCCCCAATAGCACTAACCCCAAAAAAGAGAGGCATTTCGCATCCCTTGGCATATATGCAGACGAATAAGCAGCAACGCCCCCCGTTAGCGCCTTTCTCCCGCCCTGACCCCATGTTTCCGCTTGTTGTGGGGTACATGGCTTCTAGGGCGTTTTCCAGACGCATCTGCAAGTCGTGCACGTTCTGTATTCCCAATTCGGACTTTTTTTTTCACATGTCAAAGTCACCAGAAGATTGCGGCACCACTTGGTGTGCAACCACGCAAGAAGAAGAAGAAGAAGAAGAAGAAGAAGAAGAAGAAGAAGAAGAAGAAGAAGAAGAAGAAGAAGAAAAACCTCATAGACATTGATTCAAATGATTGCTACATGCTTGGGTACACAATTCTCCATAGCAACTGGAGAAGATGTATTTTAATTTTATTTTATTTCCAAGTCCCTTCTACAGTGACAGTGTTAGCGCACCCGTTAGGCACAGTGTACTGTCTATTGGCCCCACTCTCGTACGTGACGGCGCCACTACTGTCAACTTTGATGTACTTGTACTCGAAGCTGGTGCCTGCAGGTAGGTTGAGGGTGGTTGTCCAGAGCGGGTTGGACGAGGTGTACTGGGCGGCGGACAGGGCAGGCGCATTGGCAGTGTTCCAGCTGCCGAGCTGGGAGATGGAACCTGCGAGTTTGACGGTTTGGCCAAAGGAGGTGGTGGTTTTGGAGTTGAAGGTTACGGCGACGGTGGAGACGGGGGTGGCGCAGGCGGTGGGGGTTGCGGAGGGTGCGGAGGTGGAGGTGGAGGTGGAAGTGGGCTTGGAGGAGGACGTAGGGGGTTTGCTCGAAGTTGGGGGTGGGGAGGTGCCGGAGCTGCTGCCGGTGATTTTGATGTCGGCGCAGGTGAGGTAGACCTGCGGGGTTTGGAAAGAGTTCCATTTGAAGGAGAGGAGGGTGTGGTTGCTGGTGTAGTTTGGGATTTTGATCTTTGAGCTGACGGTGTAGCCGCCTGCGATGCTGGTGTAGCATGAATTTAGGGGGGCGTTGTCGACGCTCCTGCATTTCAGGTTGTCGTTGAAGCCACCGCCTGTCTTGTGTCAGTCTGTGTCACTGATTTGGTCAAGATTCAAGTCTACTTACATGTGAACCAGTCATTCCTCCAGCAGGCTTGGCCTTGCTGGCAGTCAGAGTTGAATCCGCATGTCTGTCCAGGGACATCTGTGCACTTCAACTCTCCAGCTTGGAAGCAATCCTCTGCTGCTTGCTTCTCTGCTTCAGTAGGGAGGTATCCAGGGGTCAAGAGCTTGTCGACAAGAGCTTGGTTTTGGCAGATGCGGTAGGTGAACATGCCACCATGGTCACCGTTGGCATCTACACACCACTGTACATCGACGACATCCCCAGCCTTGTAGGTAATGACGGGCTCAGAACCCCAGCGAGGCCCGGGCTGGTTGTAGTCAACTGACACACGAGCATTGTACCCGCAAGGACCCGAGCGGCCGACAGCTGCGGCGTCAAGATCAGGCCATGCTGTTACCGGCTCCAGAATTGTGCATTCGGGGCACGTATCAGCCCCAGACTGTGAAGTGTGAGAAAACTCTATTTGGTGGCCATGTTCAGATGTGTTGAGGGAATTTTTACCTGTGCATTCAGCCCTGTTCGGCTCATGGGTGAAGTGAGGTAGCCATGCGCATTGGCACTGGCTGCAAGTGCAACAACGGGTAGCAAGATCTTGGACAACATGGCCACAGAAGACGTTCTCTTGAAAGATGGGGCTGAGAAGAACAAAGTTGTGTGTGATGAAGACTCGAGTGAAGGGCTGGCACGACACATAAATACAATCACGAGGGCAGTGTATGTTGGCTGTCTACAAGCTCGCCCTTGGTCCTTCACGATGATCAAGTTCAAGTCATCTCTCTGGACATGCCGATGTTTCGTTTCCCACTTCAGACGCCATGTGATGGCTCGCATGGATGCCGTGGTCGAAGGGCGTTTGATTGGATTGAAGTCGGCATAAGCGCAGGCACACGTCTCCCCCAATTAATTTTCTGCCTGGCAACACGTCCTGATGGGGTCTTGGATGGTTTCGTCGAGGCTGGCGAGTTGCAGTATGCAGCATGCCGTAATTTCATGCATTAGCCTGTCCGGCTCCGCGTTTTCAGACAGGAGCGGAGATTCGTGGAATTTTGCCGCATGCGAGATGTATGTGCCTGCTTGAGCAACGCAGTGCCGGTGCATGTCCATCTCCAGGACGAGCAGCGATGAGGAGGGTAGTCTGCTTCGGCCGCTTTCCCTATCCATCGTAGCTTGGCGAGGCCGGCTGGATGGCGATTGGGTCGCTGTCGGGAGCGCAGGTAAGCTTACCAGACCAGCGGCCGCAAAGGCTGTGGGCAAGTGGTCATGAGAACAAAAAGAACGTCGCCCGGCCCGCACCTTAAATTGAAAAAAATACGCTGCTGTGCCGTCCAAGGCGGGGACGCGCGTGGCGAGGATGGGGGAATGGCAATGCTGGCCCCCAGTCGGAGTAGCCCAAGGCACATCAGCACATCAGCTCGCTTACCGTCCCGCCACCGTCGTGATGACTTGCGACACCCTTCATTTCCCCTACCAACCTGGACAGCCTCTCGTCGGCTACCACTCCCATGCGCCTCGGATGCCCGACACGCGACCGGGCAAGACGACTGGGCGAGTGTGCTCCAAGTCCGCCCTCTTGTTTCCCCAGCTGCCCGAATAGGCGTTTGCACCGTCATCGCCAGTCCGCCGCCCTGTTTCACTCGTCCACGAGGCTCACGCCGGTGCCCTGTGCTCGGACCGATACTTCTCCATGTGTAGGCCCTTCATCCAGGCACGTCGTCTTGAATGGATTCATGACGGCCCGGGCGAACAAGCTCCTCCTCTCCATGCCCCCATGCCCCTTCCGGCCCATGTATGCAAACGTTGTCGGCGCCCATCTCGCATAGACATCCAAACTACCGAGCAAGCACCACCAGCGCCACTCGATTCTCGTCTGGGGTTGTGGGGTTGCCGTAGCATCGTGAGCGGCATTCTCGTCCCCGTACCCTCATCCACCGTCTATAAATCCCTCCCTCGGCCTCGTCTGCTTTCGAAACCACCTCACCAGAGCCCTTCAAGCACCAGGCCCGGGAAGCCCCCCTTCTCTTCAACATGTTGTTGCTCAACATCTTCACCACCCTCTTCTTCTACATCACCTGCATCGTCTCCGCCGCCGACACCAATGCTTGGAAGTCCCGCAGCATCTACTTTGTCCTGACGGATCGTATTGCCCGCAACAGCAGCGACACGGGCGGCTCAGCGTGCAGCGACCTCGGCAACTACTGCGGTGGAACTTTCCAGGGCCTCGAGTCTAAGCTCGACTACATCAAGGGACTTGGATTCGATGCCATTTGGATTACCCCCGTCGTCTCAAGTATGTTCATCACGGCTTCTGCCAACACAGAGCAGTACTAATCCAACTTGTAGACAAGGCTGCTGGATACCATGGCTACTGGGCCGAGGACTTGTATGCCGTCAACTCAAACTACGGCACTGCTGCCGACTTGAAGAGCTTGGTTGCCGCTGCCCATGCCAAGGTATGTCCGGATTTAGTATCTATGTTCATAGCTAGTACATTTGCTTACTCATCATAGGGCATCTACATGATGGTCGACGTTGTCGCAAACCACATGGGTCCTGGAGCAATCACAAACAACCGCCCTGAACCTCTCAACCAGGCTTCATCATACCACCCTCCTTGCAACATCGACTACAACAACCAAACCAGTGTCGAGGTATGTCAAATAGCCGGACTCCCCGACATCTACACCACCAAGAGCGAGATCCGCACGCTCCTCAACACCTGGGTCAACTGGCTCGTAAACGAGTACAGCTTCGACGGTGTCCGCATCGACACCGTCAAGCACGTCGAAAAGGACTTTTGGCCTGGCTTCTCTGCCGCTACCGGTGTCTACAACATTGGCGAGGTGTTTGACGGAGACCCAGCCTACCTTGCCCCGTACGCCAAGCTTATGCCCGGCCTCCTCAACTACGCAGTCTACTACCCGATGAACAACTTTTACCAGCAAACGGGCTCTTCCCAGGCGCTTGTAGACATGATGAACACTGTCAGCAACACCTTCCCTGACCCATCTGCCTTGGGAACCTTCCTCGACAACCACGACAACAAGCGCTGGTTGAACGTCAAGAACGACCAGACTCTGCTCAAGAACGCTCTTGCTTATGTCATCCTCGCACGTGGTATCCCCATCTTGTACTATGGTACCGAGCAGGGATACGCTGGTGGTGACGACCCAGCTAACCGAGAGGATCTGTGGCGCAGTGGCTTCAACACCAATGCCAACCTCTACCAAGCCATCAAGAAACTGACCGCCGCCCGACAGGCTGCCGGTGGTCTCGCAGGAAACGACCACGTCCACCTGTACGTCGCCGACACGGCTTACGCCTGGAGCCGTGCCAACGGCAACCTGATTGTCCTCACCACCAACGCTGGCGGCAACTCCAACACCCAGCACTGCTTCAACACGCAAAAGGCAAACGGCCGCTGGACCAACGTCTACGGCAACGGCGCCACCGTCTCTGCCGATAGCAACGGCCAAATCTGCGTCTCCGTCACAAACGGCGAGCCCGTTGTCCTCCTCGCCGGCTCCGCTACCCCCACCACTGGCACTACCCTCTCCACCCGCACCGCCACTGCCACCGCCACACCAACCGCATGCCCCACCGCCGTCTCCGTCTCCTTCACCCACCGCGTCACCACTGTTCCCGGTGACACCATCAAAATCACTGGCAACACGGCCCAGCTAGGTAACTGGACTCCCGCCAACGGCCTTGCCTTGTCCGCAGCTAGCTACACATCCAGCAACCCTATCTGGACCATTACCGTGCCCCTGGCCGCTGGATCCTCCATCTCGTACAAGTTTGTCAAGATTGACAGTGGAGGAACTGTCACCTGGGAGAGTGACCCCAACAGGTCATACACTGCGCCGAGCTGCCAGGCGAGTGCCAGTGTGAACAGCTCATGGCAATAGTTGAGAAGATATAAGAGAAGGATTTATGTGTAAATTCTGTTGGATAGAGGGGTTAGGGGGTTTAGGAGAAAGAAGCAAACATACGCGCCAAGATACTCATGAATGTAAAGAACCTCTGTTTTTCAAACGTATATATATATATATATATTTTCCAAAAAATTCTCATACATACTTTCTCTCTCTCTCTCTCTCTCATCAAAGCATTCATCTTCACCGCTCATAAGGAAGAGGGTGGGGGTAATTTTTTTTTTAAAACTTGATATCCCACTCACACCCCGCATCTTCCTCCCACACCTTCCAAATCCGCCTCGCCACCTCCTTGAACTTGTCCTCGCCCAGCTTCTCCCTCCAATACTCGACCACAGTCATCTCGCTCTCCATGCACTCCCAGTACTTGCCTCGCTGGACGCCGTCCTCGCCCCCACACGCCGCCAGCCATGCGCCCGTCTTAGCGCCCTCATCCGTGTCCGTCGCCACCACCGTCTCGGTGTAGTACAAGAAGGAAAAGGCGGGATCGTACAGCAGCGTGCGCCAGCTCATGTCGTATTTTTTGAACAAGGGGCTTTGCGTGAAGCCCGGCGAGAAGGCGTGGACGGTCCTCTTGTTGTCGGGATAGGAGGCGTCCAAGTGGTTTTGCAGCAGAGTGGCCAGGAGGATCTGGTGCGCCTTGGTCTGGCCGTAGACTAGGGCCGCGCTGTCGCGCAGACCCAGGGCGGCGCGGGTGCGGTGCCAGAGGCGCGCGACGACGTTGCTCTTTGCGTGGTCGGGCCGTGGGGGTCGCGGCAGGAGGACCGTGTCGCGGGCGAGGTAAGAGCTGACGCTGCTGGTAAAGACTGTGCGGGACGAGGGACTGAGAAGGGGTTCGAGGAGGGAGGTCATGAGGAAGGAGCCGAGGAGGTTTGTGACGTAGATGATGTCGAGGCCTTTTTCGTCGTAGCGGCGCTGCGAGCCCGTCACGTCTGGGATGCCCGCGTTGTGCACGAGCATGTCGATGGGGGTGCCTTGGGTGCGCCAGCGGGAGCAAAAGGTGCGGACGCTGTCCATGTCGCTTACGTCGAGGGTCCAGCAGAAGATGTTTGCGGTTTTGCCCGAGGAGCCCAGTTGCGATCTGATGTGGGCGACGGCTTCATCGCCTTTTGCTTGGTTTCGGCATGCCAGGTAGACGGTTGCGCCCTGTCGGGCTAGTCGAATGGCGATGCACAGTCCAATGCCGCTGTTTGATCCGGTTACAATTGCGGTTTGGCCGGTGAGATCGCGCTGCGGAGGGTTCTGGGGTGTGTATAGTCGGGCGAGGACGAGGTTGAGCGAGCACTTGAGGTAGGACGAGTAGAAATCCCAGTAGAGCAAGAGTGGGGCCATTGTGGGATTAGTAGCGTAGGGTCCTTTTGCTCATGAACAGTGAGCTATACGCAGTGCAACGGCTGGAACTAAAGACAGGGGCGTTGGAGCGCAAATTATATCCACACGTAACTGCCAAGAAATGGCATTATATCGTTTAATCCCCAGGCTGCCAATCCACAACGGCTGTTATCCAGGCGGTGTCACGGCCAGATCGCCTGTACGGGCGTAAGATGGGGGCGGAAAAGTGGGGATGCTCCCTTTGAGTTGACCACCCTTGTGCTCAATCATGTGCTACTGCATTACCGATTCTCCCTACTTCCGTTATCAGTAACCAAAGAATTTCCATATTGGGCAGGTGCTGAAGGCCGAGTACATCTCGTGGTACAATGGCGTACATGACATCAACGCAAGCAATCCAGAGAGGACAGTGTGCAAAATTCGTGATTCCTATCATAACGGGAAGATCCAAACACGGGCCCCAGGCTTATAGGTCCCGCATAATATCGTCAATGGTGACAGGTTTCCTGACTGCGTTCGAAAAGCCTTCGTGAAACGATACCCATATCCTTCCCGCATCTCCCTGCGTCTCCCCAAGATCCTGCCGCCTCTTCGTCTCCTTCTTGCTCGCATCCGTCTCTTGTATTACTCGTCCGAAGAAGTCACGCTTGACAGCCTTCTGATTTACTGCAGCAATCTTCTCTTCGGTCGTCATCTCCTCCTTCTTTCCTGCCTCTACGTCATCGTCAAACTCGTCTTGACCTCCGCGGCGCTTGCGATTGGCCTGTTCACGGATCGCAGATTCTTTCCGCCATTCTTGCTCGAGGACACTTCGCACGGCGTAGCGTGCTTTTTCGTCTTTCTTGCTCGCGAGAGTCTCAAAGGTGGCTAGGACGTCGAGGGCGGGCTCCATGCGCCAAATGAAGCCTCCACTCCTGTGTGACACTTCTTCTGTTTCGATTCTAGATTTCTCAAAGCGAACTCCAGTTGCGACCATGGCTTCGACAGCCTTCTTTACCAACTCTTTCTCTGAGGCTTTGCGTACTGAGGCTGTGGCAAACGATTTTGATCCCGATGCACCGGTGTTGACGAGAACAGGTTTGACGTCTGGTGACAACATGCGTAAGACATAGGGTATCAGCTCCATGACCATCTCTTCTGGACTTCGAAACATGCGAGTTAGAGACAAGCTCAGAGTTGTTTGCAACGCCATCAATTGAGCCCTGCTAGCTTTGGTCTGCTCCATTGCAGCAAAACTTGCGCCAGGTCCGGAAAAGGGAGTTGGCTGCGCGTCCGGATCGGTTACGGGATTCGTAGTCGACCGAATGGGTGAGGCAAATAGATCGTGGAATGCTAACACGGAGTTGGAAAGGTAGGGTGCAAGCTCCCATTCCTGTGAGCCATGCACGGCTGCGTTGATTGTGTCGTGAAAATGCAACCATTCGTAAGCTGCGTTGGGTTTGCTGAGAAAGGTGTCGTCTTGGAAAGGCTTCTCAGGGTATGCAGTAAAGCAGTCTGTTCATCGTTAATACACCCTGAGTACCCAGTATTTTAGCAAGCTCACCAGTCACAACACGGTCGCAATCGCCACTTGTATCGACCATCTCCCTAAGACGATCCATGGCGCGCCGCTTTGCCGCTTCAGCAACACCGATCACACCGCTTTTCGCTCTCGCTAGTGCCGTTGCTGGGTCAGTAGTTTCCGCTTGTTTAGGAAAGCCAGCGCCTTCGCGGAAGACACGGTCAACCACATCCTTCGCACCGCCTCGCCCCAAGCTGCGAGTAGCTCCCCCACCATGCTTCAGGTCGTTGATGAGATTGTCTTCTATCCATTTCCGCGAGAGATGTGGCGGCTCTTTGGAACTGTAACCATGTGTAGCTCGTAATCGCCCTGCTATCCACTCGCTGACTACCATGATGCCACGAATATCACCTTCGCCTGTGCCACTACCTGTTCCACCCTCTTTCTTTGTGCTCACCCCCCATGTAGCCTCGCACAACCGACGAACACCGTCAGAATCGCATTGAATGCCTTCCTTGGTGAAGATATCCTGCATGCGAGAAACTACCATGTTGAGGCCAGGTTTGCGGATGTGCACTATCTCGGCCAGCGATGACTGTCGTAGCGGCCGTAACGAAGGGTGATAGAGATCGTTGCATATCAGTATAAGTGGCCGTAGTAGTCGAAATTTGTCTCCCTTCTTCTTCTTTGTTCCGGTATTTGATTGCCCCTGCCCAAGTGCTTTTGAATTTTTCTCGTCCAAATTAATCAAGTCGATCAGGGCCTTGATGAAGCCACCCTCACCCGAGCCACCACTTCCTACTACACCGTCTACCTCATCAACCACGACACATACTGGCTTACCAGCTTTACGAACTTTACCATCTGCTGTGCTGGTGTTGATGCCACGGACGTTCTCAGTCCCTACCATATCTCGAATACGGCCTTTGACAACGTTTCCACTGCGCTCATCGGATGCATTAATCTCTTGAACCTCGTAGCCTGCTTGCCGCGCACAGACGTGTGCAAGAGTAGTCTTTCCAAGTCCAGGAGGGCCAGTCAATAGTAGAATCTTGCGGTGCCTTTGCTCGTCCTCCTCGAACCCATTCTTGGCCTTCTTCGGCTTTGCCTTTGCAGATCCTGGAAAGACGATAGGATCCCAAGCCTTTAGCCAACGCAGTACTGATCGATGTGTTCTTTCGTCTCCAACCAGATCTGTGAACTTCTTTGCCCTGTACTTCTCGGTCCACATGAGCGTACGACTACTCTTGCCACTTTTGCTGGTGGGTTGTTCCACAGACTGCTTTGGTAATTCGAGGTTCTTCATTGAATTGCTCAGTGCCTTCTCTTGATCCAATGTCTTGGCCTCGTCCATCAATTGGTGAATGTTGAGCCCGTAGTAGCTGGTCCTCGCTTTTCCTTGAACTGGCTCCGAGCGTGCGGCGATGATTTCTTCATATGATTCGACTTGGCGCTTTGCCTTCTTCGGTATGTATATTACTTTCCCAGCTGCGTTGCGCGCCACCATGCCACGCATGGGTTGTGCTGAAGTAGGTTCGTGTGACGTATGCGGTCGCTTGACGGGCGATTGTGACTGCGACTTGAAACTGTAGTTGTCGAGCTCTTCGACTGGTATCGATTCGGGATCCGCCAATTCATCTTGGCTTGCCGGTGGTGTGTAGTCGGCAAATCCTTCTGGGACTTCGGGTAGATCTTTGATGCTGCTCACTGCCCTCCTCTTTAAGGTATGCTCCTTGAGCGCTGCAATGTCCTCTTCATCATCTGAGTCGTCAAGAAACCCACCAATTTTGCGGGTGGTATTATTATTTGGTACATCCTGCAACGGCTCACGGGCATCTTCTGGGCGCTTTCTCTTCTTTGGCGACGGCGGTTGTGGCATTGATGAGCTGGGCGGATATGCGATAGGGGATGATATGAGTGGCATGGCGAATGCTGGAGGTGAAGAAGGAAATGACGGGTCTCCAGTTGATACGTCAGTCGGACAGCGCTTGATTGGCAAATGTTGACGGCGCTTTGCGGGTGTTTCTAGGGGGATTAGTACTGGTTGCAGTGTGTATTCACACCAGCAGTACCAACTAGTCCTTCGCCCTCACTTCGAAACACGTCTGCAACTCTCCAAGCACGGTGTTGTATGACGACTCCTGCGCGGGTCTTCTTATCAATGTCTTCAGCGATGCACTGCTGAATTGCGCCGATGTCGTCAGAATACGAAGGAGTAGCAGGCGCGCCGTGGATAAATTCGAGTTCCGAGTTGAGCAGAGCAGGATCGAACGAGGAGGGAATGCCTGGGGAATAGCTACTCATCGGTCCGTGTAGACAATGTCAATCCACTGTCTGGCGTGGGGAGGCATTCTAAAGCGCTATCGACGCGTCGCGTGGAGTCGCGTTTTGACGCTAACCGCTTCTAGCCTCATCCCATTTTAGAGCCCCCGCCTATTGTAAGTATGCATGTCCGCCAACACCAACACCAACGAGCAACGTCGAGAATCGCCCTCGTCATTCCTTGCTAGCTGGGATGATCAGTTTGAAGTTCAAGCAGAAGAAAAATCTTTTCCAGACATTAAGTATGTACGCAAAGTCTTGACGTAGAGTTGGGTATTCCCTCTGCCTTGGACACGGCTCTACATGCCAGTATTATGCAAAAGCATTGTTTCCAGTCCGACATAACGGCGTCCTCTTCCATTCACAAACAAGCACATTTGTGTCCTTATGTTTTCCTTACCATGGCAAGCCAAAATCGTCCCACTATCCCCATATGGCCGCAACTGTCCGACGCCCGCCGCACTAGCAAGCAGAAAAAATGCGTTCGCACCCCCACCCACGGTCCAGTCACTGAATCAAAATAATTGTCTCAAGATTGGTCGATAGCACGTCAATCCACTGACTCACACCCTTCTTGATCTATATTGCATGTAATTTGAAATATTCTTCATACTCAATTGGTAGTCCAAAAGCTGAATGGCGCAGCGGAAGCGCGCCGGGCTCATAACCCGGAGGACGCACGATCGGTAAGCAATACCTACTCACAAGGAGTCATTCGAATCCAATCACTAACAGTATCTAGAAACGTGCTTCAGCTACTCTATCTTTTTTTGGGTGGAAATCTTTTTGCTTCTAATGTCTTTTTGGTCTGTAGAATTTGTGTGAACATTATTTCACTCGTGATGAGCAGAACAAAGATATTCAATTTAGGTTTTTAATTTTTACCCGCCAGTTTCATTTACCTTTTTTCCCCTACATAAAACTTGTTTTGTACTACATCTCGAATGAAGGCGGAGAGAACGCATCTTGAACGAATATCAAGTAGTCATTGCACATATTGCTCCTTGAAGCAGACTGGTGTCAAGGCTCTTAGGGAAAGTAAGGAATCATAAAAATAATCTCCATTTGTCTTATTTGACATGGTGGAAGTTATGATACATAACACTAATTCAAAATACTGCCCCAGCTTACCCTTCAACTATCATTTCTCTCCAATCTCGCCGCACACTTGCATTCTCTTTTGTAGCTATAAAACTCTTTAGAATTACTCCAGAACAAGATATGAAAGAGAAAAATGGAGAAAATCCTCTCGATCTCTTGGAACTCCCATGCTGTATTGTCGGATCACCGATATCCCAATACCTGCAGGTGCGAATCATGGATTGTTCCGCAGTCTAGCAGCGATGATTAGGTGTATTCCGCATGTATCCATAGAAACAACACGCAGACAGCCGCAATATTTCATGAAGAATGTCTTCAAAAATGAGCTGAGTGGCTTTGGGAATGCTGTCGAAATTCGAGTGGCGAGAGCGAACAATGATGGCTTGGAAACTAAAGCGTTCCCTTGTTATTGGCCTCTAGAGAATTAGGTTTGCCCAAATGGCTCTTGAATCATAGATTTCACTACTCTATGTCGTCTATGACGTTCTATTTCCAAGAGCGGCCCGCTCTTAAAATCTCCGGGATACGTTTTACAGTTCTGCCACGACAATGTCACTGATCGCCCCGTTTCACCCTCGTGAACTTCAGCATTTCCTTTTCGAAAACCCAATTTCCAAAGCTGAGAGGCATAAAATGGGGTTTTTTGCTATTCTGATAGAACCACGGCCGCTGCAAGCCCCAGTAACACAAAAGTATTGTCCTCAGGTTCGGAAAATTGTTCCCGTCGATAAAGATATCATTGGTGTCATCGTAGGAGACAACCAAGGTTGTCAGCTCCCTTGCTCGTACGTGGCAGTTCTCGTTATAAGAGGGAAAATCCTTGAGATATTCGCAATCCATGTGCCAGGGGTTGAGGGTAAATGGGAGCAATGCTGTTTCCATGTAGAACTGGCGGCATACAGTCGCCAGGATCAAGATGGGCCCCTGTCTTCTTTTTGCAGATATAGTGCTCCAGGATTCCGTTGTGTCCTCGCTCCGAAATTCAATTGAGATTCTAGTGCTATTGCGTCTCGGGTATGCATATATATGATAGCCTCCAAAAACTTGCTCCCAGATCATCAAGCGTATCTCTTCCGGAAGTCGCAGCAAAGGCGACTCAACACTGGTTGCGTTTTCGTCTGTTCTTGTTAGCATGTTTACGAGAGCCTAAGATGATAGGGCAGGCTGTTACTTACAGCAATGCTTCGCGTGAGCCTTCGGCAAATTTCTTCTCCCGTATGCTACCTGAATTAACCATTGTACCTCGGAAGTGTCAATGGACAGCTCTCACTTGGATTTCGGGGATCCATTCAGTCTATTTTGCGAGTTGTATATTGTGTATTGACTTTTTTTCTCGTGTTCGAAGGTGTAGACTTGAAGCGATGTGTCAGATGTCAAGCAAGGCAGGTTCATATATAACTCCAGTACGTGATGCAAAAATTAACTGATTTAATAATCAGCCCCGAATCCAGCCTCAGCTAGAGGTTCAGGCAGTATCAAAAATATTGCAAGAAGTCAATAAGTCTATCCAATGAATATGAAATCCGACTCCAGGAGCCACTTTCCTTCACTATCAATAAGTTCACTGACAAATATGGGTTTGTGAGATGTGCAACTGCGGTACCGGAGCGAGCTTCTCCCGCAGTGTCACCTATCAGTTGAGAGCCATTTCAATAGCAACATCCATCTAGTGTACAGCAGTGACTCTGGAGCCAGCCAGCTGCTTCTTCGCGCTTGCAATGCGCTCCAACTCGATTTGCTTTTGCTTATCGTCCAAGCCACCAGCCAGCGTACCCATGTCCTCGTCGCCAAAGAGCAAGTCAATCTCCTCCAGCGTAAGCTGCTTAGTCTCCTGCAACACCTATTAGCAATTTGATTACGTCTCTTACTTTGATGCAAACGTACCTTGAAAACGAACCAAATCGTGGGCAGTGTAACGCAAATGTTAAAGGCCACGAAAATAAAGTAAAATCTATAAGTAATATCGTCCAAGCCAATAGGCGAGACCTGATTCCAGATCGTGCCCACTAGCCAGTTACCAACTCCAGTCGAAAATGCCGAACCGCGTCCACGTATACTCAGCGGCATGATTTCAGAAGCATATACCCAAGAGATGGGACCGAATGATACGCTGAAAATGCATGAGACGAGGAATAGGAAAAATATGCCAGCGCCAGATAGGGAGTCTCTTCTCGATCCAGTAGCTCCTTCGACTTGGGATCCGATGATGGCTTCACAGATGAGCGCAATGGTGATACCGATAGTGCCAAAGAGAAGAGGTTTCTTACGTCCAACGCGGTCGACGAGGAAGATAATGAAGAAAAGGTTGCAAATGGGGCCGACGAGGTTGTAGAAAGCCGTTACAAGGAGGTTCTTATCGCCAGTGATACCTAGATTTTTGTAAAGAATCGTGTTGTAGTAGCCGATGACATTGATACTTGCGCTACTGTCAGTTTGGATCAAAGAGCAAGTGTTTGGAAAAAACGTACCCAGTCATCTGCCCAAAGAATTGCACAAGCGTAGCATGCATCAATCTCGTGCGCCACGCAGATACCGTAAACATGATTCTCCATCCTGGTGCGGAGATTGCCCGCTCCGCATCGCTGGTTATCTTGATCTCGTTGAATTCGGCTTGAACCCAGTCATCATTGGTTCCATCGTAGTGCAGCTTCCGAAGTACTCTCAATGCTTCATCTGCACGGTCTGTCTCGACAAGGTATCTCGGAGATTCCGGGAAAAACAGTATGCCAGCAATGAGAATTATGCATGGGACGCATTGAAATGCAAGTGGGAAACGCCAAGAGAAGGAATTTGTAACGGGGACCTTCGAGGACCCATATCCCACCCAGGTCGAGACGATAAATCCTACTCCAATCATCTGCTGAGTGACTCCGGTGATGAGACCTATCCAGTTTAGTCTTCAACAACTCAGTGTTTCCTTGTTGATACAGACCTCGCGTTTTTGGATGAGCGCATTCCGTTTGGTAAATAGGCACTGACATGGACAGCAGACCTACCGCCCACCCCGCCATGATTCGGCCAACCAGTATCATGGCGAGATTTTGTGCGGCGCATTGAAGGATTGCCCCAATAAGATTAATGGAAGCGGCAATCATAATGGTCTTTCTCCGACCAACGCTGTCCATAGTAAACCCACCCCTGCCAATTGTCAATACAACTCGCCTCTGCCACAAAGGCTCGATCCTTACATCAACGAGCCGAAAAAGGCTCCACCCGAAAACGTAGCATTGACAGCACCTATAATCGGCGATGCTGTATCTGCCCTGAAGAAATCTTGAAAGTTTTGAGATTGAATAACAATAGTCATTACTCCCGAATCGTATCCGAAGAGAAAACTGCCCGTGCCAGCAAAAATGGCGAGGGCCAAATTGAAAAAGAGCCCCATTTTTTCGCTGGTCCTCGAATCAGTTTGAGAAAGAAGAAGGGATAACTCGATACTGCTGGTATCCCGCGGCTTTTAAGAAGCTGTTGGCCAAGGTACCAATTGCCCCGGGATGCAAAGTATCGATGCATGTTGGTCATCGGGCCATCCAACCAGTATTAGACACCAAGCATTCAGCCGGAAGCCCGCTCCTAGTTTCCAACAATTTGTCCCTCATAACCTTCTAAACGTGCGGCTTGGTGGGGATGCGGCTTGCCGATCACTAAGAACCCAAATCCGGGGGGAGAGTGGAATGTTGTTGGGGTGCAGTAGTGGGAGGGGCGGGGATTTAGTATGTTGAATTTCCGCCAATAGGCAACATGCACAGTGAGAACCTGGACGGCTCACACTCAAAAGATGCAGCAAACATGACTGCTGTTCTAATCCCTAAGGTTGTATCCCTATCTTGCATAACGAATATTGTCCCGCGGCACTGCATGACCCCTCACATTCTAGCGTTATGCTGCCCTTACTATCCCAGTTTTGAGACTTTCCAATCCCCGCTCAGCACATCCATTCCTTTGGCTTCGCCATTGGCGTCGACCTCCAAAATACCCTTGTGCTCGCCCTTGCTATCCACCAACACTGCTTTATCACCTGACTTTACGCCGTAGAGTCTAACCTCGCCGCCAGAAGCGAGCCAGTCGTATCCGAAGCCGTCCTCGCCTTGAGTTTGTCCGAGCACCAACACAGTGCCTTCACGAACGAACAATGGCAATTGGAGAAATCCATACTTTTCCCGGACCCATCGGCCGCCTTGTTCTTCTTTGCCATCCCAGAAGCTGAACCAGCGACCAGGCGGAAGATAGAACTCAGCGGTACCATCTTCTTCAAAGACCGGAGCAGCCAGAATCTGGCTACCAACCATGAATTGGCGATCCAAGTACCAAGATGTGGGGTCATCTGGGAATTCCAGAGCCACTGCACGCACGCTAGTCGGCCAGCCGTTTGCGATGCTCTCCTCAGCCTGAGCATAGAGATAGGGCATAAGGCTGCGCTTGAGTTGCACCCAATGTCGCAGCACATCAGTACAACTCTCAGGCTCTGTAGAAGAGTCATCGACCAGCCATGGCACACGGTACGAGCTTGAGCCGTGAAGTCGACTGTGAGAGTTGAGTAGGCCAAATGCAACCCAACGCTTGTAGATCCAAGGCGGCGGCTTACCCTCGAACCCTCCAATGTCACTTGTCCAAAATGCAAATGATGCAAGTCCCAGACTCAGACCCCCGCGTACTGACTCGGATAATGCAGCAGGGGTAGACTCGCAGTCACCTCCCCAGTGAAGTGGGAATCTCTGAGAGCCAGCGCATGCCGTGCGCGCAAAAAGGATAGCTTCATGCTTTCCGTATCGCTTCTGGACTGCCTCGTATACTATCTTGTTGTAGACGAAAGCGTAGTAGTTGTGCATGCGGTTCGGGTCCACAGTCTTGTCATGCCACTGGACCTCCTTGGTGGGAATACGCTCTCCGAAGTCGGTCTTGATGGAGTCGACTCCGACCTCAAAAAGCTTCTCCATGCAGTCCCTGAACCATTCACATGCTTTGGGGTTCGTAAAATCGACAATACCCATGCCCGTCTGCCAGAGATCCCACTGCCATACATCGCCGTTTGTTTTCTTGAGCAAATAGCCTTTGTCGGCTGCGTATTGAAAAACTGGACTTGCCTGCCCAATGTATGGATTTGTCCAGACGCTGACCTTGTTGATGAGTCCTTCTTTTTTCATGCGTGTAATTTGACCTGCAGGGTCGGAGAAGGACTCAGGGTCCCAAACGAAGTCGCACCAGTGAAAAGCACGGAGCCAAAAGCAGTCAAAATGGAAGACCTCGACGGGAATTTTGGATTCAGACATCTTCTCAACGAAATGGCGGACTGTCTTTTCATCGTAAGAAGTCGTGAAAGAGGTGCTAAGCCACAGTCCATACGACCATGCAGGCACACGGTTCGATTTTCCAGTAAGGATGGAGTACTTTGTGAGAACTTCCTTTGGAGTAGGGCCATAGATGAGGTACCTTTAAGAGTCAGTCGTTGTCATGTCCAAGTATCTGGCAATCTTACCATTTCAACCGTTGTCCTTCCACTGTAGTCTGCAGTCTAGCACACCTTTCGCTTCCAATTTCCAGGTCAATCTTATCGGGAGTATCAATGAAGACGCCATATCCTCTTGAGCTGAGCCAGAATGAGACATTCTTGTAGGCCTGTTCACTTGATGTGCCGCCGTCTTCATTCCATATCTCAATGTTCTGGCCGACTTTGTTCCAGGCCCCAAAACGCTCGCCAAGCCCATGAATGGTTTCACCAACACTCAAGTCAGTCTGAGTGAACATGTAATGCTTGTGAGCACCTAGGTCTCCAGCGGTCTTGGGTGTGCTCAAAGCCGGTGAATAGGCGAGGCCTACACTGCGGTGGCCCAGCGCAGTCAACGATTTCGATCCATCGGTAGCGTGAAACTTGATATCAAAAGTGTGCTCATCGGAACTGACAGTGGCGCTCAAGGCTCCTGAGGTGATTGTAGTACCTCTGTCCTTCTTGACAATTTCACCCTTGCATTCGGGCTTTCCGTCCGGGAAGAGATCGAAATCCGGACCAAGACGCCTTGCACCGGCAAAATGCGTGACTTCGAGGGAAATGACGCCATCGAACTGGGCTTCGACTTCCACAGATACAGTGCTCAGGTTGAGGGTATCGCCACGAGAGAATATCTTCTTAGTCGGACAGAGCAGTGTGATTGCCTTGTTGTCTTCACGAGGGGTAACTGTGTATACTTCCTCTGCATGCTGGACTGTAAAGCGGTCATTGACCAGCCACATGCCTAGGTT